TTTTTCCTCCTTTGCATTAAACAAAATAAGTGATCGTATTATTCACCTTTGAATTAATTAAAAACTGGATTGTCGATCTTATAATTCAAAAATTGGATTCTTTTATCCCGCATCACCATATTAATTTTGATTAGTGAAAAAAGTACTCTCCCGCATTAAAATGATTCTCTTCACTCACATTGATTAAAAAAATACTATGTATGATTATTCTCTTCTTGCATTATTCAAAAAACAAAATCTTTCATTGAAATTCTATAATTCAAAAAAATCAATTTAAAAAATCATTGAAATTCCATTTATTATACTCCCTTTGCATTAGTTCAAAAAATGAATATAAAAAACTATTGGTAATCCTATGATTCTAAGTAAATATTAACAAAAACATTTGATACTTCTTTATGAATACATTTAATTTAAATATCTGATTGTTTAAAAAATAGTCTAGTCATTTGTAGTATTTTAATATAGAGATTAAGATGTATATTTTTATGTTTTTTATTATACATCATTATTTAAAAAATAAAATAAAAACTATCTTCATTTAAGCATGTCATAAACAAATATCAATTTTTAGAGGTTAAAAAAATATATTTTATTAATGAAATTTTATTTATTCACTAAATATTTTATCATAAATGAAGTGAAATATATTCTAATAAAAGCGATGATCTTTATTCCATAATTAAATTAACTCAATAATGTTTAAATCGTAAATAATGTTAGTGTAAACATAATGTGTCATGGTGACACACTTTTGGTTCAACCATTTTCTATTTTTCAATTAAAAATAACATATCATAATAGATAATTAAAAACAACAAAATTTAATTTTAAACCATAAATAATTATCTAAGGACTATAAACCATAGATTTTCTAGTAAATTCAAATCATAAAATCATTATATTCGAACTATGAAATTACGTTTGATATTTTTTCTATTTTAAGAAATTTATAGACCGCACAAATCTGGTTTTTTTAATAAAATATTTTTACATTAATATTGCAATAAATAGAATAAAAACAAAATTCATTTTAACATCATACACTAATACTTGTATGACAATGATTTAGAGTTAAAAAAACATCTTATTTATTAATTAAAAATTTTATTATAAATGAAGAGATCAAAGTAAGAAATTTCGAATTGGGAAAGAATATTATCATAAAAATAAACTTTTTTCCCATATTTATACTTATTCAAAGATTTATTCTCAAAATATTTAGTTCAAATTTTATATACGTTAAATTAGTCGACATATTAGGTGTCAAAACAAATATAAAAAATTTTCATAGGTAAAAAACTATTTTATTTATTATTTGTCAATATTTAAATAAATATAATCAAACTAATTTCATTTAAACTAATAAACAAATATTAAATTTAATAATATGCGAGCAGAGTGTTTTATTTGTTATAAATGAAGAGAAAAATTAGAATTTTGAAAGGATATTATCATAAAAGGAAGATTGATTTCCCATATTTAAATTTATTCAAAAATATTTACCAAACTTTTAATTTCATATTTTCAACATCAAAATTTATGTGACATATTAGGTTTTAAAAAAAGGCTCATGAGTAAGCCACATGTCAGTTTCTTAATTACTTCAGTCTCATTTTTATACATAAAGGAAAAGATAAAAGATTGTATATTTTTCCTAAATTTTTTATGTTCATTATATCTATATATTTGGCTAATTTAGACATATTCTGTTTGTATGAGAATAATATTAAACATAAACTTATCATTATTACAGTTTTACTTTTTTCCTAAAAAAAATTTACTTTTTTAAATATGCACTAAGTTAAAACTTATTTGTAAATTAACTAATCATATATTTGTGTTCAACTTTTTCTTCTTTCTAAAATTTTTATCTAGTTTTTAAATATTAAATTAGATGTATATGAAATGGATATAGATGTGAAGTGAGTATCTTATCTATGATTATAAGTCAGGTTGTAGATGAGGAGAAACTTTTATAATAATAATTAGATCAAAATGTTATCACTAAATGTAAAAAGTTCTCATTTTGTTTTAATTTTTTTATTTTTCTATAAAAATGATTTAATTTCCTTTTTATTCAATTGACTGATTTTAAAGCTTAATTGGAATCCGAGCAAAATAGTAGTAAAAGTTTTACTGAAAATTTTGTTAGTTAAAGAAGGAACTTGTCTTTTTTCCATTAATAATTTTATTTTGTGCAATACTATATTTATGTTTCACTAATTTTATTATGTTGTATAATCTATGTTATTATATCATAAATCAATTGAAAGAAACTTTGAGTCAATGCTCTTGATGACATGTATATTGAGGTGTTAAAAAACGTCTAGTCAGCATGCCACATATCGTAATTCTGGAACTTCAACTTTCCTTTTTTATATATAAAGATTAAAAAACCTGGCCCATGTTCAATAATTTGCATGCCCAAATACATAATCAAAGGACTTAAAATAGACGGACCCAGACCGCATTTCATTCAGCTGATCTGAAAACTTTTGTATATTTTGAGCGAGTTAAGTGCACCGTTTACCCCCGTACTCTTTAGAAATTGGATTTTTTACCCCTGAACTTTAAAAAGTGCACCGATTACCCTCGAACTCTTTGAAAATTGCACGATTTACCCTGCATACTAAAAAATGCACCAAATACCCTTGAACAAATTAAAACGTTGCATCGTTGGTCCTAAACTATTAGATAGGGAGTGTATTGCGAATATGATTCATCTGGCCCTTGTGAATTTTCCAAAATACCTTTACCCAAAATTGTCGTCTTTATTTAAATGTTCAGGAGTAAATAGTACAAATTTCGAAGAGTTTAGAGGTATTTGGTGCAATTTTTATTGTTCATGGGTAACCATGCAATTTTTGACGAATTCAAGGGTATTTGGTGCACCTTTTAATGTTCGGGGGTAAACCATGCAATTTTTAAAGAATTCGGGTGTAAACGGTGCACTTAACTCTATTTTGTGCTAGTTGTTTTGGAAATAAAGATGTCTTGCTAATCACATTACTAACCTTATACTTGAATTGCAATCTTTTGCTTAACACTATGTTTGGTTCAAGAAATTCAAAAGAGAAAAGAAAAGAAAATGACGTGGAAAACAAGTTTTCTTGTTTGGTTAGAAAGGAAAGGTGGAAGGAAAAGAGAATGAGAAGGCAAAATGTATCAAGTGGAGGAAAAACCAAATTCCTCCCATTTTGGTGAGGAAAATGAGAGAAAACCATTTTCTTTTCTTTCCCTTCCAAATTCCTTGAACTAGACATATTGTAAGTGTCCGAGCTCATTGTCATGAAAAACTCAAATAAATCCACCGTGAACATTTGCATATGTCTTCAAACAAATCTTCCGTGCTTTCATTTAAGTATCAGATCTTTTAATTTAAACACATAATTAAACCTCTTCGTAAATCTGAAAACACACACACAAGCACATTTATGGCTATAATTTAGATCTTTGATTACATAAAGAGTTTATGAAATTTGTGACTATTGTGTTTGTGAACCAAACATTTTCCTTCATAAAATTTGAAATACTCACTTTTATAAATTGCAAATATAACCCTTGAGGTATATATAGTTTATAAATTATTCTTTCATCTCACTATTTTTACGATTCACACTCGTTATTTTTTTTCAACTTTTTAATATAAATAAAATAATTTTTTATATCTTAATCTACATGATAAAATGCGAAAACATCAATATGTTAAACTATATCAAAAAATTATGGATAAACCAATGACATAGAATGTTTTATTAATATAACTTTATATAAGACCTCTCACCTTTCCCTTTATTATTTAAAATTTCTCATTTTTCTAAATTTTATAGAAAAATTGTAAGTCAAAATAGTTTAGAGAAAAACTGTTGGTTAGTCTTCTTGGTGGAACCTAAAATAAAAAACAATAAGCTTTATGGATGAGTTTTATTAGTTAGTCTCACGAAATTGCAAAGAAATAAACATTAAAACTCATCCATGATGTTTACTGGTTTCGAATTTGATTTCCACCAGTTAGACAAAGAATTGAGAGAAGAATGATGACATCGATTTTGAGTTCAAAGCTTCAAACTCAGCGACGGGTTTAAGAAAGGAGTGCGAGGGGATGGAGGAAGCTTAATTGAGGAGATAAAAGAGTGAATTTACAATTTTATCCACGTTCTTAACGGAACTGTTAACAAAGGACCATTCGCGGAAATTAATATAATAATTGAGGACTAAATTAGTAATATTTGATATGTGGGGACTAAATATGTAAAATGACCTATAATTGAGGACCTTTTATGGAATTACCCCATAAAAAATGTAAAAAAAATTCTACGTTTTTATTCCAAAAGCAGGACTTTAATGAAAAATAAAATGTCAACCATGAAAGGAAAAATAGATTTGATTACATTATGCGACATGTTTGATATTTATAATAAAATCTTGTAATATTTAAGGTATAAGTACAAATATACTATTTATAATAAATACTGCATAAATAAATTGAGGTGCAACGTAACGACAAAAACTTTTTAAAATCTAATTTTTTACATTTATGCTAACTCTATATTATAATTATTTTTTTGTAAAAGTAGTTTTTTGTATTTGAAAAAAATAATACTTTTTTGTATCTTAATTGCATTCATAAAGATAACGTGATGATGACGACGACGATGATGATAATAATAATATAATAACAATAATAAAGATAATAATAATAATAATAATAATAATAATAATAATAATAATTTATAACAAAAAGAATTTAAAATAAATTTTTTTAATTTTTTTTTAGATTTTCTAATTTTTTGAAATTTTCTAATTCTTTCCAATTTATTCTAATACCTCTAGGTCCAATAATAAAGAACATGCTCTAAATAAGATGATGTGACGACTGACGAGGGTGATAAATGACAACAAATTGAGAACATTTGGGAGTATTATTCTGGGGGTCCTCCTAAAATAGATAGATTAGCCTGTGTATTTGGGCAATTGGGCTCAAATTGATTGCCACAAATACCAGTTGGAAACTTGGAAGACAACAAACCCTACTACCCCCTGGGTGGATTCCTCCGCCGCGGCGGTCTTCGGCGCCGCTTTCATTTGCTGCTCGCGGTGGCCCTCTTGTTCCAGAAGAGGGGAAAATCGTTGGGAGTACTCGTGCTGCGGGAAAAAGGAAAATAGTTAAGGGTCGCGCTGCGGCAAAAGGCAAAATCGTTAAGGGTCGTGATGATTCGGATGAGGACGAAAAGCCATACTAAAGAACCAAAATCAGACGGATGATAGATTCCGGCATTTCTATCCCGACGAGATCACTTACGACGATCTGAGTGGCGAGGAATTGGAACCAGATTTTCAAGAAAAGTATTTCCCTTTTCTTACCCAACGACGAATAACCTTCAATGAATATCAACAACGCGTAATCTACAGCAAGACTTTTAGGCGATATTGCAGGCAAGCTAATTCTAGTCAGGTACGTCTTGTATTCAATGATGTCCATTACTTCCTTTCAAACAACTCTCACATCCATATCAATTCATACATCCACAACTTCTGTCTTTCTTATCTACATACCACTCAAGCTTTATACAATGATAAAACACAAAATTTGCACATAAAATTATTGTGTGATTGCCATTTCAAATGTCTCTACTAAACAAAGATAAGGTATTTGATTAAATGAACTATATTCTCAACACATCATTAATTTTTACTTATTTTTAACATCTAGATAAAAAAACATCAAGAAGCATACTCTCTTCCAACCCCCCTTGTTTGTACTTTCTTCTTGGGAAGGTAATATGTTAGTATGCTTGGATTTAAAATCTGGTGTTAGCTTTTATTAATTATTATTGTACCCCGGAATTAGTTTATTCGATTCATGATAATTTTACAAAACTTACACCAAATTAATATATCTTGCGCTTATTTTTTCCATAACTATGCACGTAAAGTTTTTTTTAATTACATTCAGTAAAATGTGTGTTTTGAATAATTATTCTGATCATCCATCGATCTATCTTGCAGGTAACTCTTCTACGTTAGAGGGAGAGAATGAACATCCTTGGTTTCGCTCTGTGTAGGACTGTCCTTTTGCGCAAGATGTGTGACCGCAATTGTCGGTTCAAGAACATGAACAGGACTGTATGAGCGGGGCACCATCCATAAGGTACTAGTACTATTTGTTCAGTACATATATTGGTTCTTTGGAGGGGATAATGCTTGTGATGGGGGGTGATCAATAGCAATTGAGTGATTGCTTTTGTAATGTTACTAGAAAGAAATTAGGTCCGATTTGGTGGGGCCACAAGGGTGCATTTCATATGGCACAGGAAGGGGTTGGTTCTAGGTACCTATAATTAGGTGTTAGGAATATTTGTTTGGTACATAAACTGGTTCTTTTTTGTTCTTCCTGGATTTGTATTAACTTGTTGCATACTGATCGGTTGGTGAAACGCAGTGTAGCCTTTTTTATTGGCTAGAAGTATGGGTGGACAAGGGCTAATTTTGGTTTTGGTACTGGATCTAAAACTTTTTTTATGTTTTCAAAAAATGGAATGTGCTACATAAATGATATTATTTTGCTAAAATAGTTACTAGCTAAATATAGATTTTATTTGTAAAATAACTAATATAAATTTATTAAATGCCTAGTAACTAAAGAATTTGGTTTCTTAACCAAACTTGGCACTTCTAAGAGCATCTCCATTCTTTAATTAAAAATTCATCCATTAAATCATTCTCTCTCATCTAAATGATCACAACATCACCTATCTTTATGTTCTTTATTTTCTAACCAGACACCCACAACTTATCTTTAAATTTTTTATTCACATATTTTAAATAAGTCATACTCTGTATTATATTATAAAATAATATTTATTTTTTATTAGAATGTAATAAATGACAAATAAATTACAATAAATACTAAATTTAGTGAATTTATATTTAGAAGAATAAAATTAGAGAAGATAATTACAATTTGATTCGCTAACTTGTTGGTTTTGGTTACGCGGCTTTGGGTGTTACATTTTGGTATCAGATCGTGTGTTTTTAAAAATGCTTCTGGGCATAAAAAATGTTTACTTCCAAAAAAGAGAGAAAAAACGGCATCCACAATTTCGCGACGTCACTTCTGCGCGAGGTAACTCTGAATCCTTATTGTTTGTTTATGTCATAATTGTTTGTTTCTTTGATATTTAGTTGATCCATTTATTAATCAAAATATTGTGAAAAAAATATGTACAGTGAATCTTGAAAGTGAATCATAAAAAGAAATTAGTCATAGATTCACAAACATCTTTTATGATTAGTCTGATATGTTATAAGAAAACAGACTGCGTCACGTGCCAACCAAGCGCGTATGGGACCCAAAATAAATATTATTGAAGATAACTTTTGACAGGGTGATGCTAAACTTTTAAGTGGTAATTGACTTTTTCACAAAATAAGTTTTGCTAAACTTTTAATCGTTTTGCTCTTCTTATTTATCATGTTTTAAAACAAACTTGTCTTGCTAGCACAAGATCAATGTGTTAAAGAACAGTAAAATTTATTTACCATTCTCCAACTCAACGGTTAATTTAATACTTCTTCCATCTCTAAAAAAAACTTCCTGTTTCATTTTTTGCTCATCCCAAAAAACACTTCTACCACATCTAAAATATCCAAAATACCCCAAAACAACTTCTACCCGTAATAAAGGAGAAATATGGTGAATCTTAGACAAGATACGGATATAAGTGTATTTAGGGATGTGCAAAAAATGAAACATGAAGTTATTTAGAGACAGACGAAGTACATTTCAGTAGAGTTATGTTTTGAAATGTATTTATTTCACACATTGTTCCTTGGAAGAATTTTGAGACCGAAATTCTTGTAAGGAGGAGAGAAATGTAACGTCCTGATATATATATTCTGGATTTTTATAACGAATTTTTAACAAAACGTCATTCTAAAATAAATAAAAAATTTTGTTTAAAAATATAATAAATGGTAAAAACTGTATACTCCAATCTACCTCATCGAATCGCATTCTTCCTTCTTGGCTGTGCAACGGGATCGGACGGGAGGAGACTTCGCTAGAACTTCTATATTAGTTAATTTATGAATTCTCCGTCAATAAATTCGAGGTGAATGGTGGTATCTCTCCTTAGAACTAATTCTTAGATTTGTATTCGTTGGTATATTCTCATTCAAATGAGGTTGCAATCGTGAATTAATATTATAAATTTGTGTAATTGAATGTGTTGGGATTGAATCTATATTTGGGATGGCTTGGAATCGCGTTTATGCCATTGATTACTCTGTTTCTCCCTGTTCTCGTCCCCTAAATTGTTTTTCTTCCTTTTTCATGCATTCTGTGTGGTGTCTTGTTGTCACTGTTATTCTTCTTTGATGGAGTGTAGGGGATAACAAAGATAACGCGGATCAAATTGAGAGTCGTGTAGTACTCAATCGGATAAAACTCAAATTTTGTGACAAGAACGAGTATGAACTGGTATGAATTTTTTCGAACTCACTTTGCGACCATGGATTTGCCGAATTCTTATAGAGACGGAAGGATGAATTTAAGATGGGGTGATGTCTTTTTTAAATTTGTGTAGTCGTGTGAAACAATAGAAAAATGCACGCAAATTTCTTAAAAATTTTTTAAAGATAAAATCAAAAATTTAAATTTCAAATCAATTTTTAACACAACAGCTTAATCTTGCTAGTGGGCGCTGCCCTTGAACCCCAGCCAAGGGGGCATTGAAGCGTGCACTTGGACTACTAAACTTCTTTTTTTTTGAACAAAATGCACAAATATTGTTCAACAACCATTCAGTACAAACTACAAAGTCTTACCACCCTCTTTTGGCTCCTGCCAGCCCCCTACTCTTATCATTTATATTTTGGTTTTACAAAGGTAATAACATGATACTTAACATATTCAAAGCTATCTACTGTGTTCCATCTCTTCTTTCCATGGATTATGTTGTTTCTGGCCTTCCATATAGTATAGATACACACTGCTACCAAAGCTGCTCTTATCTTCCTCTCCTTTGTGTTGCTTCCCAACATAATTTTGTCTTCCATCTCCTTTATGTTGCAAGCTGTAAGATCAGTTCCAGCCCATTGGGAAACCATCTGCAGTATCTCTGTAGCATATTCACAAGAACAGAATAAGTGGTCTATACATTCTTCATTGTTACCACATAGGCAGCAAGTAGTATCTATCTGTAAAAACTTACTCAATCTGGATTTGGTTTGTATTCTCCCCTTCCATATCAGCCACATAATTATCTGGTGCTTGGGAAGAGACCAGTTGTTCCAAACTAGGTTTGCCCACTTTACACTCTCCTTGTCCCATTAGCCATGAATACCCCTTTGTAGTGTTGTACTCTCCCTTCATGGACATGCTAGTGAATTCATCTCTTAATTTAAGCATTTTCCTCCGGTAATAACATACACCCCCTTTGGGATTGTAATGCCACACCGTCTCTTGCTTCTGATATCTTCCATGGACCCACCTGACCCACAAGATATCCTTTCTGTTAGCTACATCTCATAGCAGCTTCATGACATTGGCTTTATTCCAGTTAACCAGATTCTTCAGTCCAATTCCTCTGTTTTTTGGTAAACAAGTCTCTTCCCAATAAACCAAAGGACTTTTATATGAGGCACTTGCACTCCATCGGAAGTTCCTACAAATATCTTGGATCCTCTTCATCACCTTATTGGGTATGATAAAGAGTCTGGTCCAGAAGAAAATAACCCCATACAGAACATAATTGATCAATCTAGCTCTACCTGCATTCGATAAGTGTTTTGTAGCCCATGAGTTTACCTTGCAAGTGATCTTTTCCACCAGAGCATCACACTCCCTCTGTCCAATTCTAGATACTGTTATGGGCCCTCCAAGATATCTGAATGGAAAGTCCCCCTTAGGTATTTTGGTGAGCTCTAGTAGCCTTCTTTCAGTTTCCTCCTTTACCCCTCCAGTTACTATTTGTGACTTGGCTTGGTTGATGTGCAGTCCAGTTGTCAAGGAGAAGTGTTTCAAAGCTTTGAGTATACAGTCCACTAATTTTTCATCTGCTTTACTCACAACAATTAAGTCATTAGCAAACACCAAATTAACAAGTTTATAGCTTTTACACATTGGGTGGTAGGTGAAGGAGTTATTATCAGTATAGTAGTGCAGAACCCTTGTTAGATAATCCATGATAATCACAAACAATAGTGGTGATACAGGATCCCTTTGCCTTAGCCCTTTTCCTCTCTTGAAAAAACCAAATATATCACCATTCAACTTTATGGAATAAGCTGTACTGGTTACACAGAATTTGATCCAATTCATGAATATGGGAGGGAATTTCATAGCTGCCATAATCTGCAGAATTGCTTTCCAACTTACAGAATCATATGCCTTTTTAATGTCCAGTTTCATCATGCACCTGGGTGATATGTCCTTTTATATCCTCTTGCCAATTCCTGACACTCCCTCCCTTCTACGAAAGCACCCTGGTTGGAATCAATGATTGTTTGCAAAACCTTCCTAAGTCTACTGCATATGATTTTAGAGATGATTTTGTACACCACATTGCAGCAAAAAATAGGTCTGTAGTCCATAGGAGATTAGGAGTATAGGGCTTTCAGTTTTGGGTATAACTGTGATATTTGTGTTGTTGATCTCCTTAAGGGTTTCCTCTGTTTGAAAGAAATCCAGACCTGCCTGGGTAACATCTTCTCCGACTACATCCCATTGGTGTTGAAAAACCCACTACTAAACCCATCTGGTCCAAGACTTTTACGGTTGGGTATTTTCAAACATAAATTGCTTCACCAAGGCTGGGTTAATTGGGGCTATCAGCTCTAGTTGTTGTTCCACATTAAGCACCTTTCCCCTATTTATAATATCTCCCTGAATGTTTTCAGTCCATTGGGTAGAGCCCAACAAACCCTGATAATATTGTAGGATGGCTTCTGCTACTGCCTCTTTGCATTCCACAATCTTTCCTTCCAGGTTTTTAATTGATGTGATGGTATTTTTGTTTTGCCTTTTCCTTATCCAGGCAAAGAAAATTCTTGAGTTCTGCAGAATTCCTGTTTAGCTTGCTGGCCTTTCATCAAGTATCCAGCCCTCAAGCTCTAATTTAGTTCCTTGATCAACTCTTTTTCCTTAGCAAATAGATCCTCCCTATCATGATCCTTTTTTATTGCCTCTTGAATACTGAAAAGCTCATCCCTAAGGATCTCACATTTATTATGTATATTGCTGAACCTGTCCTTATTCATCTTCTTAAGCCTCCACTTTAGATCCTTTAGTTTTTGTAGTAGTATATACATGGGTCTGCCATGCCTCTCCTTATTCCACACTTCACTTGCAATTTTGGGGAAATTAGGACTGATAGTCCACATGTCACAGAATCTGAAGTTGTGTTTCTTCTCTTGCTTCCAGTTATTGATAAAAAGAGGTGAGTGGTATGACAGTCCCTCCTCTCTTATTATAACCTTGGAATTATATTGCAGGGCCCACTCTACATTGATTAGGGCCCTGTCCAGTTTAGAGAATATCCTCTTTCCATGTCCTTGTTTATTGGACCATGTAAACCTTGCTCCTTCACTAGGTAATTCTTCGAAGCCATTATCCTGTATGTATTCCTTGAACTCCCTTATTTCCTCTCAGGTGACTGGATTGCCTCCAATTCTATCCTCACAGCTGAGTATGCTATTAAAATCTCCTATTAAACACCATGGTATGTGGGTCTGGGTAGCCATTTTACTGATATCACTCCATAGCTCCCTCCTTTTTGTAGGGTCATTGTGCCCATAAACAAAACTTACTAAGGGTATGTTTGGTGAAGAAATCAGATATGGGTTTCCATATCTCTGATATGGAGTTTCTAAAGTTAATGTTTGGTGAGTAACCAAAGGGTTTCAGCTTTCATATCCGAAGATATTAGAATTCTGCGTATAAGCCGCTTTTTGATATCTCCATCTAATTGCCGATTTCAATTTTAAAACAGAAGATTTAATTTAGATTCCTCTTCCAAGTCAATATTTTGGAGCAACTGGTACAAGGGCCTGCGGAGGTCTTCAATCTCCATTGAAGGCGGTGGCAGTTCTTTCTCCGGCGATGAAGGAGGAGGAGGAGGCAGCGGCTCTGTCTTCACTAGCGCCAAAGAACGAGGTGCATAGGGTTTCTGTCTCCGTCGGCAATTTTTGTTTCCATCAACGACAAATAGGAGGCGGCGGAGGTTCTATCTCCACAGTGGCCGGCGGCCACGATGGAGGCGACATTTCTATCTCTAGCGGCGATGAAGGTGGATGAGGCGGCGACTTTGTCTCCATCAGCACCGGCTATGACATTTTCTTGTGCGGCAGGGGAGTATACAAGGGGTTGTGGTGGATAAAAGATACGGATAGCTTTTAATTTTCTATTTTGACTTAATTGACTTTGATTTATTTCTCTTTTCTCCAAACATTTTTTCTTCCCGATTTCAAAATCCATATCATTTCTCTCAGATTTCAAAATTCATATCTTATCATATTCCAAAACTCACCAAACAGGTCCTAAGTATTGCTTAGTGTCCCCCAAGATTCTACACCTGCAGCTTACCAACTGATGAGTTACTCCCATGATCTGTACATCCACCATCCACCTTTCCTTTATTCCATACCACCCAAATTCTCCCCAAGTGGTGAGTATTATCATTAATGAAGGAACCCCAGGTCTTGAACAAGCTGTGTTCAACTGCTTTAAACTTATTTTCTCTAATTTTGGTTTCAAGCATCCAAACAAAATTACATTATATATCATAACACACCTCATAACTTCTCCTTGTTTATTTGGACTATTCAGCCCTCTCACATTCGAGCAGCAAATCATTTTAGAGAGGGCAGGTGCCCTTTATAAGGGCCTTCATTGAATACCTTATGCAATCCTTTTTCATCATAGTCTTTGCTATCATCTAACACCAATTTCCTTGCAGCCTTTTTTCCACATACTTCAGTAAATCCCTCATCCATATTTTCTGGGGGGATATCTTTCTGTAGATTGTCATTGCTATTTTGATTATTCCTCTCCTCTTCCTCCAGCTTTTCATTGCTCTGTTCACATTCATCCTTCTTTAGGATCTCTTCTAGTTGATGCTCTTTCCCATCCTTTTTAACTCTCCAGACTAGTTTCTTTGGGCCAGCAGCTTCCTTCTTATTGTTTTCCTTCAATCTACAGTTCTCCTAAAGATGTCCTATTTTCTTACAGTGATAGCAGATACACAACATTCTGTGTCATCACTCTCTCCTCTTCAGTGACATAAGCAATCTGTTGTGGGAATTCCTGATACACTCTCAGTTTGCTTAGCCCTGTAAGACTCCAGTAGCGCCCAAACAGGTATGTCCTGTTCAGTGACATCGACCTGCTTCCCTGGCTTCCATTTTTGAACAACAGCAAGCTTGTTATCAAAATAATAGTATTTCTTTTTTATAACATCATCTCTGTCCTCTTCCTTCTGAAACATAACTATGAATTGTCCTTCTTTAAGCACCGAAACCTCATCAATAGGGTACATATTCCATATTCTAGCTACAAAACCCTTGACTACTTCAAGGGGGGATTAGCTCCAAGTATACAGAGAATCGTAGCCGCGTCCCAGTATCTAGAAGGTTTGAGTATGTCCTCCTTTGAGAGTTTTGCAACCCTAGTTCCATTGATCTCTGTTGCTTGAACAAATGTTAGACCCATCTATATCGCATCCTGATCACCTACCACCTCCGCATACGTTTTGGCTTCAATAATCTGATTCTCCTCTTGATTCTTTGCTTCTAATTTCTCTGTACTGATAGTGCTCAGATCTGGATTTCCCTCAAGAGAATTACTTCCAGATGATGCACCGTTTTCAAATTTCCCTTCGATCAAATTTTGTCCCCTTGTTTGCTTGTCGAGCATGATTGCAGGATTGGATCCTGATTTCCTTTTGGCCTTCCTTTCTTCTTCGCCATTGCAGAAGTAGAGAGAGAAATCCAGGGAAATTCTTGGTTTAATTCAAACCTATTTGACAAAACTACGTCATCAAATTTCCGATGCCATTGTTTTGGTGCTTGCTTTAAATCATTCCATGCATCCATCAACCTTCATTTTCCTTTTGAATATCCATTTACATCTAAGAGGTTTGCATCTTGGTGGTAAATCAGTCAATTTGCATGTATTATTCTACACGATAGAGTCAATTTCATCTTGGATTGCTTCTTTCTAAAAAACATCCCTTGAAGCCATAGCTTCACTAAATGTCTTTGGATCTTTCTCAATATTGAAGCAATATTGATATTGAAATTCAATCTCTTTTCTTGTTCCTTCCATCAAGTAGAGTTGAAAATCGTCACCAAAAAACTTAGTTTTCTTGCTCTTGTACTTTTCCTTATTTCAGTGTCTGGAAGGTACAGTTTGAGAGACCTTCAAACTGGGACTCATATCCTTTGGTATGGATATGGAAGTAAACCTTGATAAAAAATAGCATGTCTTGACTCTATAACTGTGTTTACAAATACAAAGTCATTAGGTTCTATAACATTAAACCTATAGGCCTTGGAATGCATAGCATATCCAATGAAGATACAATCTATACCTTTTTCGCCCAAAGTTTTCCTCTTGGGTTCAAATAACAGCCCTACATCCCCAAACTTTAAGATAACTCAAGTTTGGTGGTTGTTTGTACTAGAGCTCATATGGGGTTATTTTCATCTTTTTATTTGGAACTCTATTCAAAAAAATAACAGGCTGTTAATATAGCCTCACCCCAAAATGTTTCGCTTAAGCTCGAATGGGAGAACATCTTTTAAGGTCATATTTTTCCTTTTTGCAACAGCATTTTGTCGTGGTGTGTAAGGAGCAGTTGTGTGATGTATTATACAAGTAGATTGAAAATATAATGGATCACAATACACACCTCCTCGATTTTGAAGGATTTAATCAAGTTACTTTGATGTAACTCTACCTCTATCTTTTAAATCTTAAATTAATCAAGGGCTTCTTCTTTTGCATGCAACAAATAAACAAAGCAAAATCTAGATGTATCATCTATGAACGTTACTACATACTATTTATTTCTAAGAGGAGTACCAGTAAGTCACATAAGTTACTATGAATAAGATCCAAAATATTACTTTGCCTATGGACTTCTTTGAATGGTTGTCTCGTTATCTTAGTAAGCATGCAAGTTTTAAACTTCTCAATGTTCAAGTCAAATGCAGGTATTAAACTCATTTTAGACATCTCTTAATCTCTTGTAATGAACATGCTTTAGTCTAGCTTGACACAATTCAAACTTATTTGAACAAATGCTAGAACTAGTAGAAGCCATACATACAGATTCATTGGGATAAGATACATCTAAATTCAACTTAAACACACCATTCAAATAACCAAATCCAATAAACAAACCATGTTTAGATAATACATATTTATCTGACTCATCTACTTGTTCATAACCACAACTATTTAATACAATACCAAACACAAGGTTTTTACAAATACCAAGCACAAATAAGACATTAACTAAAGTTATAGACTTTCCTGAAGTAAACACTAGCCTAACACTTCCAATTCCTTTAATGGTTTTCGTAGACACGTTCCCAATGCGCAATGTCGAGTCATCTTCTATTCGTCTCATTGATGTAAACAGATGTTGATCTTTGCACTCATGGGACGTTGCTCCCGAATCTACCCAACATGCAACATCATCATCCTGCATATAAAATGCATCGGATATTTGAGATACATAATCCTGAAGCAAGTTATTAATCTTTTCAAAAATCTAACCTTGTTGTATATTTTGGTTCTGTTTTTCATTACCAACCCTGTAATCATTCTTGAAGTGTCCTGTTTTCCATTACCAAAGTAGTTTGCAAGTAGGCCTGCTCAAAGATCAGGCTAAGTAATCTAATATACTTATCAAGTAATTAAGCCCTACACTCCTTCATGGAGTGTAAAGCTACTCCTCCAGTTATTAAAATGCCAAAAGGGAAAGCTAGATACAAAAAATCTCAGCAAAACATTTAGATCATAAACTAGAAGTTGAATCTTTGAGGGCAATCTAACATGCTCAGCTTCGAACAGGTGGCTAGGAAGAGTTAACTCCAAAAGTTAGTGATATTCCATTTTTGTGAAAATTTGATATTCCAACAATTTTCAAAGTTAGTGATCAAATATTTGTGTAAGATAATTTGACAAGGCATTCGAGTAGGGGCAAGGTCTGTGTACACACACCCTCCCCAGACCCTACTGATGTGGGATTCAACTGGGTTGTTGTTGTTGTACCATTTTGTGTTGTTTTTTTACTTCGCTTCAACTTAAGCCCCTATAGAAGATTTCTCTTGGGTTGTAACAGTTCTTCAGCTGAAATTGAAGATCTTATTTTGCCAATTACATTATAGCAGCACTATCGAGAGCCCATTTGTAAACCGTGGTAGTAAATCTTGGCATTTACCATGGGGCCTTCATGTGAGTCTTTATTTTTTTACAATGAATCTTACAGAAACAAATACTCGGTGGTAGTCATTTGAATTTTTTTACCCCGTGGTAGTAATTTGAATTATTTTTTACTCCCCATAAAACCGACCCTTTGATTACCTTTTCCCATCTTCTTAGGTTGTTGATACTTTCAGGGTAGATTTGCGATTGTTAATTTGTTAAGAATGCAGAAAAATACTAATTGGTTAAGAACGCAGAAAAAGTTCACAAAAGTGACACAGAGTATCTTTATTTTTTTTTTTTGATTTTGTAAATTCTTTATTTCTAACACAAACAATATTGAATTTTGAAATTATTATTTAAAAAATTTAGAAAAGAAATTTAAAAAATCTATTAAAAAACAAAGAAGAAAAAATGAGATAAAAATGGGTGGAAACCAAAATATGAAAATAAAATAGAAAACCAGCTCTTTTACCATGTGGTTTGGAAAATAGACAATAATGTCTCTTCACCAAAAAATGTTCAGAGAATAGCTCATTTCTCAAATTAATAAACTTGGTATGATTCAAGAGACAAAACATGTCATTATGTCAAAATTTTGTTTTGTACACTTACAATTTTTCAAATATTATTTATTCAACTTTCACGTTGATGGCTATAATATTATAAAATTGTGTTTGCAATATTGTTTTTTAACCCAAAAATATTAAATTGGAGAGTACTTTTTTAATCGACAAAAACTTAATTCGGTCCCGTGCGTGGCACGGGTCAAACACTAGTATCCTATATATTCTATCCTATATCCTATATCCTATCCTATCCTATATATATATGTAAAGTAGAGTTCCATTGTTGTAATGTTGACATGTGGCATGCCACATGTGCATCCACTAATGAGGTGGATATATGCATTTCCCATTTAGATTTTTTAAAAGATCTTTGAATACATTTGTAGAAATTTTTTTCATTTTTTAATAATTCTATAAATATATATTTCACCATTGTAAATTAAAATATACTCCATATTTTATATATATATATATATATATATATATATATATATATATATGTTCAGGTGAGAATGCAATAAGAATGAATCTGGTGCACCAAGATGGTTTGAAAATGCATCATGTCGAAATGCACCATAATCCTTTGAAAATGCACTATCTCAAAATTTGAGTGCAGAATGCAATCTGAGCCGCACGATGCATCAGATCCAAAGGCCAGATTTTATTCTTATTTCTTTCACCAAGGTGCATCGTACGGCTCAGATTGCATCCTGCGCTCAGATTTTGAGATAATGCATTTTCGAAGGTTTATGGTGCATTTCGACGTGATGCATTTTCGCACCATTTTGGTGCATCTAATCTTGATTAAATCTTGACCCTTAGATCTCACAATCTAAAGCACTAGATTCATTCTCATTTCTCTCCTAAGATTGCATTCTCACCAGAACCAATATATATATATATATATATATATATATATATATATATATATATATATATATATATATATATATATATATATATATATATATATATATATATATATATATATATATATATATATATATATATATATATATATATATATATATATATATATCTGAATTTCCGCCACTTTCCGCCGGCGGCTTCCACTCCTCTGCGCCTCTATTTTCTCAGCCGGTGAGCGATCCTGGGCCGTCCATTAGACCACCACCTCATATCCTTCCATACATAGATATTCTTCGAGGATCTCCAACAACCCTAGAAATCGATGGTGATCTACAATCCCTCGTTCCAGTTCCCCTCCCTCCTCTTGCTCAATTGCAAGTTTCGGAAGCACACAGACAAAATCTTTCGAAGAATTTAGCTTCCACAGCCACTGGATCGTCAAAATTTCGCATTGAAGGTAAGATCTTCCGAATGGATTTATATATATATATATATATATATATATATATATATATATATATATATATATATATATATATATATATATTTATACGGTTGTTTTTATACTATTCACCATTTATTTTAGTTTATTACTTGTCAAAAAATATTTATACAAATTTAATCACATATGCATATTTATTAATTAAATACTTTGCTTCAAAGCTTTATCTTATCACATTATTTATTTTATTACTACATATATTTTTCAAAAAAGTAAATAAAATAAAATTAGTTTAATTGAAGGGTGACAAGTGACATTATGACACATACATTCTCTAGTGGTGTATCATTATTTAATTAGTTCATTTTTTATTATATTTTATTATTTAAAACCATTTTCATTAGTACTTCATTCAATGACAACTAATTTTGTATAAAACTTTTTGTTTTTAAATTAACTCACCAATATATATTCCATTAATTTAAAATATATTTTGTCACTATTAGAAAAACTAAAATACAAAAATTATATTTATAGAATGTCAAATTTTAGAATGTATACGAGCCCGTGCGAAACACGGGATTGACACTAGTTATACTTTATTTTCGAGTTTATATTGATCCACTCTCTCATTAACGACAATTGGTTTTTTTAGATAACACTACAAGAATCTCGCCTATAAGCTGTAAAAAAATAGTGGGGGATATTTCTGCCTCTAATTAGCTGCAGAATAGAGGCGAAATATTCACCCTCTGTTTTAAATTTTTATTAGTGGGTAACATTTCCACCTCTAGTTTCGTAGCTAATTGAAATAAATTTCAATTGTATAACCGGGAGATTAAAGTTAAATAAAAAATAGCGAGAGAAAATAAAAATTTAAATTTTTTTAAAAAATATTCAAATTAGAGGCGGAATAGTCCCCACTAGTATCAAACACAAAAGAGTCGGATTTATCCCCCACTAAATCCGTAAATATAGAAGAAAAAAAAAGATTGAACTAGAATAAGGGTAATATTTCCCCCTCTAATTCAAAAATAAAAAGAGTGGTAATTTTGTGTGGTATGTATCTCCCCCTTATCTCATTAAGAAAAAAAAGCCTCTTCTGTTTCTCCCTCAAAGCAGCCGACGAGTGACCCGCTAGCTGAAGCCGCCGCATGTGAGAAGCCGCTGAAGTGAGAAGCCGTCACCCCCGCGTCGCCGACCTCCGTCACCCCGCTCTCTTCTCCGCCGTCTAGCAAGCCGACGCTCAGCCGACGCTCCAATTTCTAGGTTTTAACTCATCTTGAAATTACTCTAATTGTTCAATTGTGTGAATTTCTTTGCTTGTCTCTTTAAAATTCTCTAAATTCTTCAATTATGTGAATGAAAATATTCTAATTGTTCAATTATATGGAATTCTTTGTTTAATTTTTGTTACCCCAATTTGATTTTCGATTTTATATTTGTTGGTATATTTTTATTCTAATTGTTCAATTATGTGGAATTCTTTTTGTAAATCAGTTTTAATTATGATTTTTTTAAACTAAAAAAATGAAAGAATCAAAATTTATTGTGTCTTGGTTTTTCTTTCCACCTACTAGTTTTAAAGTAGGTTTGTATCTCCCCCTACTAAAAAACACTTTTTTTTTCCTTTTAAAAAGTCACTTTTACCCTACTAATTCTTAACAAATCTATCATATCACACTTTTACTCTATTAATCTATCCATCTAATCCTAGTTTATCCATCACATCAAAGGACATTTTTGGAAAATCAACCACAAAATACTCTTCCCTTAAATCCTCAAAGAAACGAGAACTTTTTTAAGGGACGGAGGGAGTAGTATTTAGTCTCTTTTTCCTATAAGTAAAAAGTAAACTATAAATAAACAAAATATAAGTAAAAAGTAGACTATAAATTCTTTTCTTGAAAACCCATTAAATAAACAGAAACTTCTTTTTAGAACATTAACATAACCAATATTAATTTAAAGACTTCAAATCTGGGATTTTGTTTCGCATGAAAATCACACCTCAAGAAGAACCACATAATCGGATATGCTCATCTTCTAGGAAAAACAAATGAAAACACACAACACAATTGCTTAATCTGTATCTTCTTTACAACAAATGATATATTCTAGAAAATGAATAAAAAAAAAGTATGATTTTCAAAACAAGAATGAAATTAGCTTACAACGAGTAGCATAAAAATTAATGAAATTCAAAGAAAAACTATAAGAAATTCTTAGCAAGAATGAAATTGGCATACAAGGATTAGCATACAACTTTATGAAATTCACAGCGAGGATGAAATTAGCATAAAAATTTATGAAATTGACAGCAAAAATTAATGAGCCGTATTGAAAAAAAGTTGTGGATACAAGGATTTAAATAAATGAAATTAGTATCAATGAAAAAGTTTGTGAAGATATGGAAAATCAGGATTACCTATTGAATTGGGAGGAAGGTGAAATTCGTGATGATTTTGCGAATTCATGCTAGAAATCGTAAACACCTCCCCAATAAGAACTATTAATAATGCGAAATTGTGTGAGGTTGAGTCCTAGAAGAATTCGTGTTGACACTTGAAACCTAGTGAAGAAAGGGAAGAAATCCGTCTGTAGCAGAGCAGGGCACAGCAAAGAGTCCTATTCGGATTTGGGGGTTTTATTTAAATAAAAATTGGGAGAAAGACCAAAATAGGACTAAAACATTGATAATTTACCAAAATAAGACTTTCATGTTTTTATTCCCGAAATAGGAGTTACATTACCAAACATGGTCATATACATTACCAAAAACGTATAGTAATTTGCACATGTACACTGCCACATTACCACAATGCAAAGTCACATTACCACAGTGCAAATTCCTATTCCGGGAAAAGAAACATGAAAGTCCTATTTTGGTACTTTTCTCTATGTTTTAGGGCTATTTGGGATGATTTCTAATAAAAATTCCTCCTCTCACTAAAATATACATAGTGGGGGTGAACATGGTATTAAGCTCGTACTGATATCATATGAAATATTTTGGTTCAGTATGAGATAATACGTCATACTGATCCGAATCTTGAAATTTTTGGTTCGGGATGGTCAGGTTCAATTTTGTTTGAAAACAAACACACTTAATTTAAACTTTAATATGTCACAAAAATCAACTTATCAATTATTAAAATAATTTTAAAAGAAATATTACATTTATTATATATTAGTATATATATTCGATTGAGGGTTTTCGGTATGGGAATTAACCTCGTACCATTCCAAGACAAATTAAGGCAGCGTTCCGATGAACTTATTTTTTCTGCTTATTACTTATTTTTATTATAATAAGATCAGAACATATCAGAACAGATCAGATCAGATCAGAAATATCTTTAATTATTGCTGCAATTAGATCAGATCAGACAAGATCAAATCAAATCAGGCGAACGGAACGTAGCCTAAATCCAATATTTATCAAATTCAAAACAAATTAAACTAAAATCCAGTCAAATATTATAGCTCATTGAAATGACCTGCTAAAAACGAGTCAAACCCGACTGAACCCGGCCTGACCGACCCGCTAAAGTAAAAAATTTTTAAAAGAGTAAATTCTATAATTGGTCCTTTATAACAGGGGGAGTTCCATATTTAGTCCTCTATTATCAAATATTACCCCCGTAGTCCTTTTTTTAAGGGTACCTTTCAAAAATGGTCCTTTTATTGATCTTCTGCCGTGTTGGTGTTAATTTAAAGGCTAAAAATATAATTTGACGTCAACATTATGTCTAGTGACGTGTTCTGATATTGGTTAAGCGGATAACACAAAAATAATGACTATGATTGTGGGCTAGGATTCTGACGAAAGATCACGTTTGTAGACTATAGTTGTCGTAAAAAGCGACTGTAATTCACAAACGATGCAAACGGAACAGCCTTTGGAATTGTGTATGACAAAAAAGATATATTATCATTGTGAAATTACACTTTTAGCCCTCAAATTAACACCAACATGATAGAAGATCAAAAAAGGACTATTTATGGAAAAGTACCCATAAAAGAAGGACCATTTGGATAATTTTTGATAATAGAGGACTAAATAGGGAAACCTCCCTATTATAAAGGACTAATTATAGAATTTACTCTTTTTAAAATCATATACTTTACTACTCATTTTTAGTGTATTAATTTATATTTTCAGACAAAATTTTAATGATATTGCATAATTATCTTATTTTTTTTCCAAAACTTAAGCATTTTTTAAATTTCTTATATTTATTTATATATCTAAATATTACCTCAAAATTTGGAGCCAAAATCCAAAATCCAAAATCCAAAATTTGGAGACATGTAAGATAATTATGCAATATCATTAAATTTTTGTCTGAAAAGATAAATTAATACACTAAAAATAAGTAGTAAAGTGTATGATTTTAAAAAAATTTTACTTTAGCGGGTCAGTCAGGTCGGGTTCGGTCGGGTTTGACACGCTTTTAGCGGGTTATTTCAATGAGCTATAATATTTGATTGGATTTTAGTTTAATTTGTTTTGAATTTGATAAATATTAGATTTAGGCTACGTTCCGTTCGCCTGATCTAATTTGATCTTGTCTGATCTGATTGCAGCAATAATTAAAGCTATTTCTAATCTGATCTGATATGTTCTGATCTAATTATAATAAAAATAATTAGTAATAAACAGAAAAAATAAGTTCAACGGAACGCTGCCTTAATTGGTCTTGGAACGATACGAGGTTAATTCCCATACCGAAAATCCTCAATCGAATATATATACTAATATATAATAAATGTAATATTTCTTTTAAAATTATTTTAATAATTGATAAGTTGATTTTTTTTTTGACATATTAAAGTTTAAATTAAGTGTGTTTGTTTTCATCCAAAATTGAACCTAACCATCCCGAACCAAAAGTTTCAAGATTAGGATCGGTATGACGTATTATCTCATACTGAACCAAAATATTTCATATGATATCAGTACGAGCTTAATATCGTATTATACTTTACCATGTTCACCCCCACTCTGTATATTTTAGTGAGAGGAGGAATTTTTATTTAAATAAAACCCCCAAATCCGAATAGGACTCTTTGCCGTGCCCTGCTTTGCTACAGACGGATTTCTTCACTAGGTTTCAAGTGTCAACACGAATTCTTCTTGGACTCAACCTCACACAATTTCGCATTATTAATAGTTCTTATTGGGGAGGTGTTTACGATTTCCAGCATGAATTCGCAAAATCATCACGAATTTCACTTTCCTCCCAATTCAATAGGTAATCCTGATTTTCCATATCTTCACAAACTTTTTCATTGATACTAATTTCATTTATTTAAATCTTTGTATCCACAACTATTTTTCCATACGGCTCATTAATTTTTGCTGTCAATTTCATAAATTTTTATGCTAATTTCATCCTCGCTGTGAATTTCATAAAGTTGTATGCTAATCCTTGTATGCTAATTTCATTCTTGCTAAGAATTTCTTATTGTTTTTCTTTGAATTTCATAAATTTTTATGCTACTCGTTGTAAGCTAATTTCATTCTTGTTTTGAAAATCATACTTTTTTTATTCATTTTCTAGAATATATCATTTATTGTAAAGAAGATACAGATTAAGCAATTGTGTTATTTGTTTTTCCTAGAAGATGAGCATATCTGATTATGTGGTTCTTCTTGAGGTGTGATATATTTTCATGCGAAACAAAATCCCAGATTTGAAGTCTTCAAATTAATATTGGTTATGTTAATTTTCTAATAAGAAGTTTCTGTTTATTTAATGGGTTTTCAAGAAAAGAATTTATAGTCTACTTTTTACTTATATTTTGTCTTCCATTTGTTACCCATCCCTAGGATGTAATTGAAGGGAATAGTATGTCATATAGTACTCCAGTTCTTTTACTTATATTCCCTCTGTCCCCCAGTTTTTGTCCACATTCATTTTTACACATTATCCAATGCATTTCTTTAATCCATTTTATCTTGTAATTTGTATATTAAAAAATTATAGAAATTATATATTAATAATCTATATGTTAAGACAATCAAACAAAATCACACATGACTATATTTAGGCTTACACATTGAGAGAATTTGATGAGTCAAAGTGCTTAGATGAACAATTCCAAAAGTCAAAAGTGGACAAAAACTGGGGAACGGAGGGAGTACCTGGCAATTTAAATCATTCAATTTTAAAATTTATTCTTTTTAATTGTTGTTAATAAATATCAATGCCCCTGCTTTTGGGTCTGTTTAGGCATTGACGGAGCTCTGTTACTCTCACTCCTCTTTTCTTTTTTTACGCAACACCACAATCGGAAGAAATAGACTCTGCCCGGCTACTCCTCCGCCGCCGCCGCTGCAGTTGTGACGCCGTCGCCGTGTCATGTTGTTCAATTTCCGACAAGGTAATCCATTCATGTGCTCAATATGTTTGATATTCGATTTTGTCAAAATCAATTTTAAACCCTAAAATATTTTATCTTAATTCTTCTCAAATTTCTGTTTTGAACAATCCCTGGGTGTTAACCACCCCCAATTTGATACTTCACCTTTTTTTCTCTTTCAAAATCCATAATTGATCTTCTAAAAAGTAGTTAGTCTTCCCCCTTTGATTTTGATATACTTTTTTAAACACCAAATGATGAAAAGAATAATCAAATCACTGGGTTTGAATTCAAGTATTGAATTTGAAATCATTTGCATTCTTCAATGCTTTAAACGAGACTAGTGGAACTGGTTCAATGGTTGAACCGTAATCAAACCAGTGTGGTAAACATTAAATACAGTTTTGTTATAATATTCGGTAGTTAAATTTTATGTATAACTCTTGGCATTTGAAGAAGATTTACGGGGTGAGAGATGAATGAGCTTTTAGAGGTATGAAACAACATGTTCTTCTTTATAGGGTGAGAAAAACCTTGGTGGACTAAAGCTGTTTGGTTTGGTAAAAAAGGATACATCCCAAACACCAAATACTCCTTTAGTTAATTTGCATAGATAAAATGCCAATGAAAAGCAAGTTACCCAAAATATTACATATAAATACTCTTCGTAATTTAAGTGAAGTGGAGATGAAGATCTAAAAGAGTGGATGTGTTAGAATATTGAGGATAGATGATGAGATCATAGACAATGACCGTACTTTCAACCTGCAAACTTCTATGTCCTATTTAGAGCATTTTAGCTAGAAGAGATAATATTTTGGGAACTTTTGGAGAATATCAAAAGAGAATATTGTGGGAAAAATTTTCTACTGTTTAGTTTTATATTGGCCTTGTTTGTGCTACTTGGAGTGCTACTTGGAGTTGTAAAAGGGTTGTGTTTGGGACTGCTTTAATTATCTCACATTTCACTTGGTCCTTGTGCTTTATTATATGGAGCATTAACTGTAATTTTATTTTAAAATTTTCTAAAGTTTCAAGTTTGATCATTTTTAGAAGAAAATTGAAGATTTTGTGTGTTCAAAGACGGTGATTCAGGTAGCTTATCATGTTTTTTTTGAATTGTTCCTGTTTTTTTCTAATATCAATTGCTTTCCTAGAATGTTGCTCTTTAAGTCTCCTTTAGCAGAGCTAAGGTCTATTCCTTCAACATCCATGTACCCTACTTTGGATGTGGGTGATAGAATTATGGCAGAGAAGGTATAACTAGCCCATTCTTGTTCTAGTTCTTTAAAATGAGATTATGGATGAAGATAGGAGAAGATCACGTATGTTAAAACGAGTCAGACTTAGGGCCTGTTCTTTAGGACTGTAAAAAAAGAGCTGGATGTTGGAAGAAATTGGAAAAAACTGGAAGGAACTGGAAGAAACTGACTGGAAAAAACTGGAAGGAACTGGAAGAAACTAGAAAAAACTGGAAGGAACTAGAAGAAACTGGAAAAAACTGGAAGGAACTGGAAAAAAGTGGAAAACCTAAAAAAAACTTTAAAAATATTTATTTTAAATTTGTGTTGTTATAAATTATTATTATTATTATTATTATTATTATTATTATTATTATTATTATTATTATTATTATTATTATTATTATTATTATAATATTGGCCTTATTATCATCATCATCATCACGTTATCTTAGTGAATGTCTTTAAGATATAAAAAAAGTATTGTTATTTTTTAAATACAAAAAACTACTTTTACAAAAAATAATTATAATATAAAGTTAGCATAAATATAAAAATATTAAATTTTAAAAAGGCTGTGTAGTTTTATTGCACCTCAATGTATTTATGCAGTATTTATTATAAATAATATATTTGTAATTATAATTTTGATATTAAAAGATTTTGTTCTAAATATCATACATGTCACATAATCAAACCTATTGTTTCTTTCATGATTGACATTTTATTTTCATTGAATTCCTATTTTTGGAATAAAGACATAGAACTTTTTTGTTTACATTTTTTATGTTTTACTCATATTTTAGTCTTTTTCTCTAAGCTCTTTTGACTTACAATTTTTTTTATAAAAATTAGAAAAATGAGCAATTTTTAAGTAATAAAGGAAAAACTGAGATGTCTTATAAAAAGTTATATTAATAAAACATTCAATGTAACTATCTTATCCATAATTTTTTAGTATAATTTAACATATTGATGTTTTCCTGTTTTATCATATAGACTAATATAAAAAAAATGTCTTCTTCATATTAAAAAGTTGAAGAAAAAAAATAAGTGAATTGTAAAAATAGTGAGATGAAAAAAATAGTTTATAAACTATAGTTATGAATATAACAGTATATAACAGTTGTAATAATAATAATAATAATAATAATAATAATAATCACATTGAAATATATCATTTTTAGAGTAATTGGTTGAGGAGTAGAAAGAATTTGAAGAAAAATGAGAAAAGTTGGAAGAAACTGGAAGGAACTGGAAGAAACTGGAAGGAACTGGAAGAACTAGAAGAACTGGAAGGAACTGGAAGGAACTGGAAGAAACTGGAAAAAATTGGAAGGAACTGGAAAAAACTGGAAGTTAAGAGTTCAAGTCCTAAAGAACAGGCCCTTAACACCATTTATTGTTTCTTTCACAATAGTGTGTATATAAAGCATAAACTATAAACATATATATCATCATGAAGGGACCTGCATAGCCCTGCTCTAATGTTAGACAAAACTCTTTCCAATGTCATAATGCAGCACCCTTTCACTATGTTTTGTTCACTGAATTTGAAAACAAAATGAGTGAGAAAATAATTAGAGAATGTTTGGTTAGATAGAAAGAAAAGAAAAGTAGAAGCAAGAGGAAAATGAGATTGCAAAAAAATGCATCAAGAGAAGAGAAACCCAATGCCCAACTCATTTTCTTTCCTTTTTCTTCCAAATTCTTTGAACCAAATAGGGGTGTTTATGTTCTTCTATTCACATTTCATTAGGTGTCATATATATTTAGAAAGCCCATGATTTCTCTGGTGCCTTGTGAAACGAAGGGGCATCCATGCCCCTCCACTCAGAGTACGCCATGTGTACGGATAAACATGTGTCCCATCTAGGTTGCTGTGGTAGTAAGTTAGGCCTGCCTCTAAGTAGAAGCTGAGCATATCTGATTCTGTGTCCCATCCAGGTTTTGCTTCATTATATATTTTCCTAACCTTGGTGGGTGTGATTTTGAGTAGTCGGGTATTGTTGGCCTAGCTTATTAGGTGCATTGTGAGTTTCGTCCTACCCGTATGGAGCATTTGAGGGTTTTTTATTGTTGTTTGTTTTAGCCCATGGCATTTGGTCTTTTTGACTTGTTTGTGGCATTTGGTCATGCCCCTGGACTAGTATTTTCTTATTTGTTTGATCTTATGTGGCATTGGTCATGCCATAGCTTAGTTTGTACTCCCTCCGTTTCTTAAAACCCTTCCTCTTTCATTTTTTTTGTTTTTCTTAAAACACTTCCCTTTTCTATTAAAAAACCACTTTTACCCCTACTTTTTCATACCCTACCTATCACATCATACTTTTTCACTAACAACTAAACTATCACATCTTACTTTTACCCATCACATCAAGAGCAAAATTAGAAAGTCAACTACAATTTAACACTTCCTTATTTCCCCCCAAAGTCAAAAGAGGAACTCTTTTGAGAAACGGAGGGAGTATGTGTTTGTAGTTAGGACCTGTTTGTGGCTTTGGTCAAGCCGTATGGTAGGATCCCCTTGTTCCTTTCTTTGTTTTCTTTGTACTCCCTGGTCGGTTTGTCTTCCCTAGGAGGGGTTGAATTTGGATTTCGTTTGGCCCTCTCTCACCTTGTAGCTATGTGGTATCTTAATAGGGTGGCATAGAGTTAACCACTATTTCCATGTTCATTTTGGCTTTTGTTTGGCCATCTCTCACCTTGTAGCTATGTGGTATCTTAATAGGGTGGCATAGAGTTGTCTTCTCTATCACTTCTGTGTCATATAACATCTGGATGGAGCTCTTACACCTTGCCGTGCTACAAACGAGATTTTCCCTCCTCTGGTAAGACTGAACATTTGTATTATAATACTTTGTACTAACAATTATTATTATTATTATTTTGAAGATGCATCTAAGATTCATATGTCTAACAGGATTACTCAATGCAACCACCATCCCACAAGTATTCTATCTCCTCAGAACCGAGTTTTTTGCATCTGAACTTTTAGGTTGGTCTGCTGTTGAACTTTTTTGGGACATTGCACCTAAGTATATGCTGAGGATATAGATTCGGCTAAGGTGTGCTATTTGTCATCAAACTTTTGGTTGGAAATGCTGACTCAAGGCTGATTGAGGGTGATCATCAGGCTTATAGTGCCAAAATGTTATATACTTGAAGACAAAATGACGACAATATGTCATTACTACACAGACTTATGGGTTTGATTACATGTATCTATGTTTTTCATTAGGTTCTTGTTGAATGTCTAGGACAATTTTTGCAGGGGCGGAGGAGAGTGATACAGTCCTTTGCTATATTGACCACGTGGGTAATTGCCTTAGCTGGGAAAGGAGGTTATGTTAGTTACAATCTGTTAGTTGGTTGTTAGTTTGTTGAAAAGTTGTTGTGATACATTGTTAGGGCTATATAAACCGATGTATGTTCTATGCTAAGGCATGAATAATAATCTGAATTCATCTTCTTCCCCATCTCCTTCTCTCTCTAAAATCTCTGTTCTTAATCACCATTGCCGTTACAGAGCATCGAAGCTTGATCCTGCAGCTTCCTTCCTCTGTATCATTGGTATCTGAGCCATTTCGTTCCAGGATTATCAATCAGATCCAATAATTTGCTGATTCAGAGCTGGCAAACACGCGTGCGCGATCCAAAATGGAGGAATCAATTAAGAAAATGATGGAGCAACAACAAACATGGATGTCGACTCAAATTCTGGAACAGAGACGATTGATGGAGGAACAAATTCACCTACTGACGGCTCAATTGCATGAATTGCGGACCAGTTCATCCAGCAATCAATCGGGAGGCGGAAGTCCATCTGCAAACTCAGAAGGTAGGAATCCATTCCGGTTTAACCCTAAAATCGAGTTTCCTATATTTGAAGGAGCAAATCCGATAGAATGGATTAAGAAATGTAGGAAGTATTTCACTCTATGTAATGTTCCTGAGCACCAGAAAGTCGATCTGGCGACTATACATCTAAAGGAAAGGCTGAGACTTGGTATAGTAACTATAGCCCGTCGAAAATCAATGTGGTGTGGGAGGAGTTCATTGTGGATTTGTGTGCAAGGTTTAAGGATGACATATATGATAATGTGGTTGAGGAGTTTAACAAATTGAGCTAGACAGGTAGTTTGGAAGAATACATTGATAAGTTTGAAGAGTTGAAGGCATCTCTGTTGCAAAAAAGGCCTAATATGCCACCAGAACATTTTTTGGACAGCTTTATAGCCGGGCTTAGGCCTCAGGTTAAACCATTTGTGAAAGCTTTTGCTCCATCTTCTTTGGCTAAGGCCATTAGCTTTGCAAGGTTGCATGAAGATACTCTAGAAGCATGCAAAACTCATGAGAAGGGCAGTAAGACTGGGCATTACCCCGCTGTATCAACAAGGAATAACATTCCCCTACTGGCTAGGCCTGATTTTGTGCCCAAAACTGGCATTAGCATGACTGATTCTGCTAAAACTCCCAACAGCAACCCGGTGGCCAACTCTTATGGAAAGTCACACAACCATGCTCAGAAGAATCCAAGGTTCATACCTGCCACTGTGAGGGCTGAGAAGATTGCAAAAGGGCTGTGTTATTATTGTGACAAGCCCTATGAGAGGGGGCATGATAAGTCCGTTTTGTACGCACTTATCTCCTCTATATTTAATGTGTTATTGTCTAATTTTGGATTAAATAAATTAATTTCTCAATGGTTTTTATAAGTTTTTATTCATAATTGCAAAAGTGTACAAAAGTTATGTCTTGTTGTAAAAAGAATAAAAATTGAGTCAAAAGTGGTACAAAAAGGTAAAAGATTGTGCAAATGGAATGCAACGGAGCAAAGAGATTTGTTCGGAATTTGAAGTTAGCGCAGAAGGAAAAGTTGTTCAGAATAAAATTTTGAGCAAGACTATATTTTTAGAAAATATTTTCAGACCGGGTCAAAATCCGGCCAACCAGGCGCTGCCACGTGGCGCAACCTGGCTGGCCGGCCAACTGTAGCAGCAGCAGCAAGGTGGCACGTCACATTTTGCAGCCACCACAAATCCACAATTTCAATCATTCAAAAAAAACAAGAGTAAATTATATAAAAGGTCCCCAGTTATAGGTCGTTTTACATATTTAGTCCCTACATATCAAATATTACTAATTTAGTCCCCAATTGTTATATGTATTTCCACGAATAGTCCTTTGTTAACATTTTCGTTAAGAACGTGGATAAAATTGTGTATTCATACTTCTCTTTCTCCTCAATTAAGCTTTCTTCATCTTCTCATACTCTTTCCCAAACTCGTCGCTGAGTTTGAAGCTCTTAAACCCAAAATTTAAATGATCGTTCCTCCAGTTAGACAAACAATTGAGAGAAGAGTGATGATTTTGGCTTAGGGTTCAAAGCTAGAAACTCAGCGACGGGTTTGAGAAAGGAGTACAAGGGAGGAGAAAGCTTAATTGAGGAGAGAAAGGAGTGTGAATTTATAATTTTATCCACGTTTAATGAAAATGTTAACAAAGGACCATTCGTAGAAATAAATATAATAATTGGGGACCAAATTAGTAATATTTGATATGTAGGGACTAAATATGTAAAACGACCTATAACTGGGGACCTTTTATGGAATTTACTCAAAAAACAAAGATAGAAAAAGTTAACAAAAAGGGAGCATGGAAATTTGACGACCGAAGTTGCGTGCAAATCTTAGCCGCATTCTCCACTAGTTCAGGCGTGCGCCTCCACCTCAGGCACACGCCTGTCAGAGGCCTGGACCGAAAATTTCTCCTATAAAAGGAGGGCTTCGCCCCTTCATTCTCATCAAGCCTTCTTCCGGGTCTTTAAGGCCCGGAACTCCATTCTCCGCTTTTTTCTCAGTTATATTTTAATATTTTAGTTTACTTTTGTTCCGGTTGTCCCAAAGTGGCTCCAATTCTGCTCTCTGTTGTAAGTTTAAATACTTGCAATTTTAATAAAATGTTCGTTTCTTTTATGCACTGTTGATATCTAGTATGGGTTAAGGCCGAGATTAGGGTCCTGGCTAAAATTGGGCATGTACTCTGTATGTTTAGTTAATAATTGGAATAATTGTTCTAGAATTATTTTTAATGTTAAATTAATTAGTTATGTCGAGAGAAAAATTAATTAATAATTGGAAATTAGTTTTTGCCTTGTCCATGAGGATATAAAATTAATTAAGCCAAACTTTTTAGAACACATTAACGTTGCCTTGAGAGAGGATAAGTTAATGAAATATTTGTGACAGAAATATTATTATTCCAATTATTGATTAAATATGTGACAACAGTAGTTAACTCAGATGATGCCTTGGCCCGAAGTCTAGTCCTATACCCGTACTATTTATTTTCTTTTTCTCAAAAGCATCTAGTAGTTTATTTTATTATTATTTTCAAATCAAATCGAGAACACTTTCAGACCCGTCCAAACCTTCGTCTAGTTAGAAAAATTAGCTAATTCCCTTCGTCCACTCCTCGAGAGACACGACACTCGGAGAAAACTAACCCTTCATTGGGAAGGTTGACTTACCGAAAAACTCAACCATCAGGGCACAAGTGTGAAAGCAAAGAAACACAGTTATTCTTAGTGGAAGTGTTGGGCAAGGAAGATCAAGAGTTGTTTGAATTGTCCACTTATGAATCTACAGAGACCAATGCTCCTTCTATATCATTACATGCAATAACAGGGGGAAATGGTTTTCAAACCATGAGAATAACTGGGTTTGTGGGCAGAAAGGCATTCCAACTATTAATAGATTCAGGAAGTACTCACAACTTCTTGGACAGTAAAATGGCGCAGAAATTGGGATGTCTACTTGAGCCTATCAAGTCACTGAATATAGTGGTGGCTGATGGATATAGACTACCCTGCACTCAAATCACAGAATTCTCCTCTGATGTCTACATCATACCTATTGGGGGGTGTGATATGGTGCTAGGCATCCAATGGTTGAGTACACTGGGCACAATCAGATGGAACTTTAAGCAACTATCTATGGAGTTTGAATATTTGGGAAAACACCACACTCTTCGTGGAACCAAACATAGGATGATGATAGCAAAAAGTGATCAATGGGCTAAAGACATGGGCAAGGTGACACAAATCTGTATTGTTCAGGTGAAGGAGAAATTGGATAATCAAACGCTGGACAAGCAAATACTAAAAGCACATGGAGAGGGAGAAGAGAAAGTGATACCTGCAATTGTCCAGCTATTGGAAAAATATGCCAAGGTGTTTAGCACACCAGTTGGCCTCCCACCTAAAAGAGGCCCTTTTGATCATAGTATACCACTTAAGAGTGGTAGCCAACCCGTGAGTATAAGGCCCTATAGATATTCACAGAAACAAAAAGATATTATTGAAAAGTTGATAGAAGAAATGCTGGACAGTGGAGTCATTCAGTTCAGCAATAGTCCATTTGCATCCCCAGTGGTGTTAGTGGGGAAAAAAGATGGATCATGGCGGCTATGTGTTGATTATAGGGAGTTAAACAGGGCAACCATCAAGGATAAGTTTCCCATTCCAATAGTAGAAGAATTGATCGATGAACTAGCTGGTGGAATGGTCTTTAGTAAGCTGGATTTAAGGGCTGGATATCATCAAATTCGGGTTGAGGAGAATGATGTGCACAAAACAGCTTTTAAAACACATTTGGGACATTACGAATTTCTAGTGATGCCTTTTGGGCTAACGAATGCCCCAGCTACCTTCCAAGGCATGATGAATCATATTTTTCAGCCTTTCCTGAGGAAGTTTGTCCTCATCTTCTTTGATGACATTCTCATATATAGCAGTAATTTACAAGATCACTTGGTCCATTTGGAGGAGGTGTTTGAGGTATTGCAGCAGCATTCCTTATTTGCCAAAAGGAGTAAGTGCACCTTTGCTGCAACCAAGGTAGAATACTTGGGACATTTCATCTCTGGCAAAGGGGTGGAAACTGATCCTAAAAAGATCCAAGTGGTTTCAGAATGGCCAGTCCCTAAAACATTGAAGGAGCTGAGAAGTTTCTTGGGCTTATCCGGGTACTACAGAAGATTTATAAGGGGCTATGCTGCCATGAGTAGACCCTTGACTATTCTCTTAAAAAAGGGGGCATTCCACTGGACCCCTGAGGCTACTGTTGCTTTTAACCAGCTTAAACAAGCATTGGTGACAGCCCCAGTGTTGGCCATTCCAGACTTTAACCAAACATTTATAGTGGAAAATGATGCTTCTCATTATGGAATTGGGGCAGTACTCATGCAAAACAACCATCCTATAGCTTTTATAAGCAGATCGCTGGGACCCAAGTGGCAACATTTATCGGTATATGAAAAGGAGTTACTGGCTGTGGTGCATTCAGTACAGAAATGGGAGCAATACCTTGTTGCTAAACCATTCATCATACAGATTGATCAAAAAAGCCTTAAGTGGTTACTAGAGCAGAACATATCCACTCCCTTCCAACAATTCTGGCTCTCCAAACTTATGGGTTTTTCGTATGAAATCCATTATAAGAAGGGGCAGGAGAATAAGGCAGCAGATGCCCTCTTTAGGGTCACGGGGGCACAGCTCATGCAGGTGGTATTGTCCAATATCCAATCAGATCTGGCTGATCGAGTAACAGCCTCCTGGCACTTGGATGCAAACTTAGAAGCTATACTCCAACAGTTACAGCAAGGAGCATCCATGCCACATTACTCTTGGACACACCAGCAGTTGAGAAGGAAGGGCAAATTAGTAGTTGGGCCAGACTCTACACTAAGACATACTATCCTGGTCTGGGCACATGCTTCCCCTGTGGGAGGTCATTCAGGGAGAGAGGCCACTTTAAAAAGGATCAAAAGCATGTTCTATTGGAAGGGGCTAAACAAAGATGTTAATCACTTCATTAGAATCTGCAGAATCTGTCAAGCTTGCAGATATGAGACTATAGCACCATCAGGCCCTTTACAGCCTCTGCCCATCCCTCAAGAAGTTTGGTCTACATCTCAATGGATTTCATTGAAGGGTTACCTACTTCTCAGGGAAAGCAAGTGATCTTCGTGGTGGTTGACAGGCTAAGCAAATATGCTCATTTTATGAGTTTGTCACACCCTTATACTTCTTTGGAAGTGGCCCAATCCTATCTAGATCATGTTTTTAAACTTCATGGCATGCCTAAGTCCATTGTAAGTGACAGGGATCCTGTGTTCCTGAGCAATTTTTGGCAAGGCCTATTTGCAGTTCATGGAGTGGATTTACGGCTCTCTACTGCCTACCACCCTCAAACCGATGGACAAACAGAGGTGGTCAATAGGTGCCTTGAAAGCTATCTAAGGTGCATGGTTTGTGAAACCCCAAAGGAATGGTCAAAATGGCTGCCCCTAGCTGAATGGTGGTATAATATGACTTATCATTCAGCCATTCAACTTACTCCTTATGAAGTGGTGTATAACCAACTCCCTCCAGTCCATTTGCCCTATCTTCCTGGTGAATCCAATGTAGAAGAGGTAGACAGGTCTCAACAGAAGAGGGAGGAAATGATCAGACTCCTAAAGTTTAATTTGGAGAAGGCTCAAAATCGAATGAAGCAATTGGCGGATTTACACAGAACTGATCAAACTTATCAGATTGGTGATTGGGTTTGGCTGAAATTTCAGCCCTATAGGCAGGCTACCATCATGACTCGGGGCAATGAGAAGCTTAGTGCCAAGTACTCTGGCCCATTCCAAGTGCAAGATGTCATTGGGAAGGTGGCCTATAAGTTGCAACTACCGGCGACAGCTAAAATACATAATGTATTTCATGTTTCCCTCTTAAAGCCTTTCAGGGGAACTCTGCCAGCCACACCTCATATTCCCCCTTGGCTGCAAGGTGTTAACGCTGATGTTTGTCCTCAACCAGCAGCAGTCCTGGCCAGAAGGATAGCCAAGCGCAATCAAGCAGCACACACTCAACTCTTGGTTCAGTGGACTGGACAGGCAGCAAAGATGCAACTTGGGAATGGGCAGCAGACTTGAAGCTCAAATTCCCAACGTTTCAACCTTGAGGGCAAGGTTGCTTTCCAACGGGGATAGTATGATACAGTCCTTTGCTATATTGACCACGTGGGTAATTGCCTTAGCTGGGAAAAGAGGTTATGTTAGTTACAATCTGTTAGTTGGTTGTTAGTTTGTTGAAAAGGTGTTGTGATACATTGTTAGGGCTATATAAACCGATGTATGTTGTATGCTAAGGCATGAATAATAATCTGAATTCATCTTCTTCCCCATCTTCTCCTTCTCTCTCTAAAATCTCTGTTCTTAATCACCATTGCCGTTACAGAGCATCGAAGCTTGATCCTGTAGCTTCCTTCCTCCGTAGGGGGGGGACGCATGGGCATGTGCCCCCCCGACGATTTTCCGGCGAAGAGCTTCTATAGGCGCAGCAACTATGCAGTATTATTTTTTTTCTCCGTTGTGTTCTTTCAATTTTATTTTGCAGCATTAAAACGACGTCGTTTTACGTTATATTAAAAAAATTGAGACCTAAATAGAATCGTTTGTGATTAGGGTTACTTGAAGTTAATGTCCTACTCCTGTCAAACTCTAATTTTTGCTCCCGATCTTAAAAGGCCCAAATGGCGAAATCCAATCCAGGAGCAGAGTTCATCATCTTCGACATCCTTCCTTAGTGTCTCCTTGACTCCTTCGGCGGTTTCTCTGCCACTACCAGCCGTCCAGCCCACCGCCTCCCCCTTGCTTTGTACAGGTTTTTTTTATTTTAAAAGTTTTTTAATGTTTTATAATTTATACCTTAAATCTTTAATGGTTTGATTTATTTTTATTTCCAAGTGATGAATTGTGGTTGTATAGTCTTAATAGGTTTAATTTTTAATGATTATCATATATAATACTCCGTATCTATTTCCTATTTTGAGAGATCATTGTTCATTGAGAAATGCTATGTGTACCCCGGATTGGTACCCCGGGTGTACACCAACATACCCCCACCCCCGTGTAACCCCCTGGCCCCCTCCTCTCTTTCTCACCCTATTCTTTTCTCTTTCCATACTCATCTCTCTAGTACGCCCACCCCCCGTTTCCTTTCCATTTCCCATCGTCTTTTACTCTTTTTCTTGCCGGCGGCCAATCAACAGCATCTCCGTTGTCGCAGTGTTGTTCCCGGTTATCGCTCATTAAAAATTTTCATCGTCGCATGCCATCTCTGAAGGGTGGCACCGCCGCCTCATCGCCGCAGTCACGTTTAATTCGTCAACAGATCTGCAACTGCCTCCTCCTCCTTCCCGATTGTCGACGCACGTCATCTCCCTTCGTCTTAAACGGTTCGTCGCCACCAGATCCTTCATGGTCCCCTCACTCGATTTCCCTCCCTCACTCAAATATCTCCTCACAACTAGCGACTGAGCTAACCACCACTGTCGTCGCTACCGCCTTCCCCGTCGCCATCAGGTAAGTTCATGTTCTTCTCTTTAAAAAAATTCAATCAAATTTCTATTTTTCTGGTTTTTTCATCTTTTATATGGGAAAATATTCTTTGCAATCTAGGTATAAATAGAGAGTTATGTTAAAATTTCATGTTATTATCACTATCAATGACCACAATATATGAATTCTTAATTTTTTTTTTTGTTTGATTATGAACCATAACTTTGTAAATCTAATTTTTTGTTTATAACTGTCTGAAATTGTTTTAAATGTATGTGAACTGCATGCTAGTTACAGGTGTAAAATGCCTTTCTTACATGTGAATTAGTGCTCTGTTTAAAAAATTGTTCTAAATGTATGTGACGTGGTAGTCCCAAGCGTGAAATGTCTATTTAACAGCTAAAGTGCTGTCCTTATATAAAAATAGCTCCAAAAGTATGTAAAGTGTTAGATACAAGCAAAAAATGTATGTTCAATATGTGAACTACAAGATATTGGCTTTAAATGTCGATTTTTTACTTAATCTCTTATAATGATTTTGAGCTTTAATTTACTTGTCTTGTTCAATGATGTCTTGCAGCCTGATATAAAACCCTGCGTTGCTCCTTCAGCTTTCGTTCTCCATGTTTGTGACTGAATCAGGTCAAGCTTTTATGAGTCTATATGGAGTTGCTCTCAAACTTGTATCTAAATCAGGATTACCTTAGGCTTTTTAGTCGTTAGTATTCACCGAGTCTGAGTTTTTTTTGTTTTTGTTCGCTCTTTGTGTATAATTATATGTATTACATTACCATACTAATCGATATGGAATCAAGATGCTACACCTGTTTTGTGTTTGCTTCATAAACATTTTTATTTGTGATGGTAAATATAATCTTGATGGGATTGTTTTTTCTTAAGGACACATGGAACTCCTAAACGTTTACAGTCTGATTTTTAATCACAAACACTAAGAGTGTAATCACAGACACTAAATTTCTGTGAATGCCTAATTACAGGGACTTACTGTCTGTAAATTGTTTAGTTAATGACATTAACTGCATATAAAAATAAATCTCACTGATAGGCAATGTATTGGTTGGAATGTATACTTAGTTCTGATTNATAATGTGTTACCAACATGATACATTCGTGAGCAGGCGCACTCAATGCATTAAATATGCCAAATAATCTACTTACAAAGACATTATATTTCACGATTTGTTGGGACAAGAAAAACAAATTCTAAATGCAAAAAAAACAATATGAAGTGTTTGGTCGCATAGACACTAAATGTATGTAATTCTCCTAAACACTTTGCATAACTTGGATGAAAATTGCAACTGTAAATAAAGTCAATTAAATTAGTTTCAAACTGATGGACAATAATTCCACCAGATGATCCGATTCAGAAGAATGGATCACAAGAAAGTAATAAGAACAAGAACTCGAGAATTATAGGTTTTATTAACCGTTTTTAATGTATGAAAATCGCACTTGTAAAATATACCAAATAATACAATAATAAGAATATTTCATGATATTTTTCTTATATTGCAAAAATAAACTAAGTGTGGAGTATGTTTTGATCACACAGACAACAAATGTCTGTAATTTATCGTAAACAGAAACTTATTGTCTGTAAAACCTAAATAAAAAATACATCTGTCAAATATACCAAATAATGCTATCATAAAGAATGTTTCACAATTACTCTAGATTGTAAAAAAAGAAAAAAATTATAGTTACCACCGTTTTGTTACACAAACACTAAAAATCTATAATTCTTGATACATAAACATTTATTGTTTATGTAATTCACATTAAAATTTCACCCTTCAAATCTACGAAATAGTACAGTACCAAGAACATTCCATAAAGTTTTCTACGTTTAAAAAAAGAAAAGAAAAATTACAATGAATATTGTTTAGTCACACAGACACTAAACGTCTTTATTTTCTTGAACACAGACAATTACTATTTGTATAATCTGAATCAAAGATCTCTCCTCCGGTGACGCTATTAACGAAAAAAGAAGTCATTATGGCGGTCTGGGAGGAGCGAGCAATGACAAGAAAACAAGTGGCGGTGAAGGCCAGGAATCGAAGGTGTTTTTCGTCGCCCTGCTCGAATCAAGATCTTGATTATGATGATGATGCCGCTCTTGGATGCTTTTGGGCGGCGATGGGGAACTCACGCCGTGCAACTTTTGGGCAGCGAAGAGGGTGGGGCGGCAAAGATCGAGAATCCCAGGTTCAAATCCGTGATACCTCCTGAGTACTATGTAACATGTATAAAAATGAAATCTGTGAAATATCATGTAGTAGAACATAAAGACTTTCACAGACATAGACATTATATATATGTAATTCTTGATCAAAAACATTTCATCAAGACTTTCACAGACACTAGTTGTCTGTAATTTTAGTGACACAGACGGTAGATGTCTATGTGATAGATAATTGTCCACAGAAAAACATACTCCGTATCAATGCTATTTAGTTACACAGACACTAAAGTTCTGTAATTGTTTGAACACAAACATTTACTATCTGTGTACCCTGAGTGAAAATTCCGTCTGTAAGACTTCTTTCACAAACATTTTGCACCAATAACAAGCACTACACAGACATTTCGTAATAAGCATGAAAAATTCCCAATTGCCACAAGTTTTTAACAAAAAATCAGCCATTGAAAAGATTAAAAAACGAATTAAATGACTGAATAAGTTTGAGAAAGAATGTATCACAAAAAAATATTTTAAAAAGACTAATTTCACAAGAGGGAAGGCTCGATTTTTGTTAGAATTGAATGATTGAATTTAGCTTTACAAATAAAAACCCGAAAATTGAAATAAAAAGTATTTATTATAACCTTTAGTTTGCTATTGTGTGGTCGTCAAGGCGCGGAATTGAAGATCGAAGAAGACAAAGGATGAAGTCTCCACCAAGTTGGATCTTTCACCGATGCACTGGACGGAGGAAAGAAAAGTAGGTGATGTCACTGTGGAAAAACGAGGAAGACGAAGGAAGGGCTGGTCTTCCGATAGTTGCCCGCTCCCTAATTCCCTGGAGAGATCTGCAAGAGAGGGGGAGAGAGAAAGAAAGCAGGGGAGGGGTATAGAGAGAGAAGAAAGAGGGAGGGGGGTGTATATGGTGTATGAATTGGGGTACACGAGTGGTGTACCCCTAGCGCGACTGTTTATTAAATGTCCAATTACTTTTCTTGTTATTTTAGTATTTATTAAATGTTAATTGCACAGTCTTAATTAATTGGTTTAATTTTGAAAATTATGTTTTTTAATTACTCCGCATTATATTTTGAACTATTTGAATGTTTGAGTCAAAATGTATTGCTTGGTCCGTCCCTGAGTGTTTGTCCACTTTTGACTTTTGGAACTGTTCATTTAAGCACTTTGACTCATCAAATTCTCTCAATGTGTAAGCCTAAAAATAGTCATGCGTGATCTTGTTTGATTCGTCTTAACATATAGATTATTAATATATAATTTTTATAATTTTTTAATATACAAATTACAAGATAAAATGGATTAAAGAAGTGCATTGGATGGTGTGCAAAAATGAAAGTGGACAAACACTCAGGGACGGAGTACTTTTTTTGTCAAATCATGTTAGCTTTAACAAAAAAAAATTCTAGGAGCACTGCCCCGGTCCCGTGATGTGCCCCCCCGCTAGCGAGCTTCTGGCTCCGCCACTGAATTTTTGTAATCTTTTTTTGAGAGGCTTCGGTTGGGTCCTCTCCTAATGTACTCTTACTTTTTATTAATACTTCGTAATATTTTTTTCTTAAAAAGTGTGTGCAAGTACTTCATAGTAGAGTTTTTAAAATAATGTTATTATTTTTTTGGTTTAGACACTGAATAAATATTCACGGTCTACAACCCTCACTTTACACATCGAATAAAAATTACTTTACACAACGAAAAGCATCTGCAGCCGATGGGAAAGGTGCCAACTTTAGACAGTGGATAAATATCCATTGTCTATAATATAGACAGTAGATATTTATCCGTTGTCTAAAGTCAGCACCTTTCCCATCGGCTAGATGTAAAGCGACTATATTCCGATGTGTAAAGCCAATTTATTTGATGTGTAAAGTATATTCTATACTAGTGAATTTTGATGTTTTGTAGCATAAAAATTTTGTTGGTTTGGAACTGAATCATTTTTTCAAAATTTTCGAATCTCACATTTTCAAATATTTAACACTACAAAGAATTTGAAAGTCATAATTTAGGTCCCGTTTCGTTCAACTTTTTTTTTCCTTATTTTTTCTTATTCTTATTAAAATCAGATCAGATTTAATCAGATTAGATCAGATCCAATCAGATCAGATCAGATTTAGGGTTCATTCCATAGGACTTATTTTTTCTACTTATTACTTATTCTTATTAAAATCAGATTAGATTCAATAAGATCAGATCAGACTCAATTAGATCAGATCAGATCTAATCAGATCAGATCAGATCCAATCAGATCCGATCAAATGCAATCAGATCAGGCCAGATCCAATCAGATTAGATCAGACCAGATCAAATCCAATAAAATCAAATCAAGAAAAAATATAAAAAATAATATTTTTATTTTTCAAGGATTAAATAATAATTGCTGTTATTTGATTAAATCACATTACGTTATTTAAAACTACACACACCTAAATCTTAATTAATATTATTATTTTAATTATTATTTTTGTTATATTATTATTATTATTGTTATTATCCATTCCAAACCCAAAACATTCAAAAGTAATAAGATTCGAAATTGATTATATATACAAAATTGATTCTATTTGACAATAAATATAGTATATTTATTTACATTAGTCAAGAATTACATTCATGTGATTTTGTATTTTTAGTTTATAACCCAAATTCCTAGTAGAGAAAGTGAGAAACACCAAATAATAATAATAATAATAACAATAATAATAATAATAATAAATATTAGGGAGTATAATAATAAACTTTTGTTTAGATCATATTAAATAATGACCAATTCAATCAAATATATTCATTCATCATAGATTACATGGGGTTGAATCAGATCAGATGTAATTTCATCGGACTGGATTAGGTCTAATCGTGTAATATCCCATGTAAACATGGAAATTTGTAGTTATTATATTTACGTATGTATAATACATGTATATTGGATACTATACATATAATTACGTGTAATACATCTTAGGCCTGGCAATCGCGTCAATCAATTTTTGATGGTGATAAACCACCGAGTAGTCCAATAGTGGGGTCAGGTGTCGTGTAATCAAGAGAATGTAAGTAAAATAACGAGAGAGAGAGAGAGAGAGAACAAAGTAGAGGTGTGTCTGTTGGACCGAGTTGAGTGTGCATAGGCTTGAGGGACCCGACCTTATTCGCAAAGTAGAAGAGAAAGTTCGGTTGATACGCGACAGACTGAAAGTTGCTTCAGATCGACAGAAGTCCTACGCCGACCTCAAGGGTAGAGAAATTGAGCATAAAGAAGTCCTACAGACGGATTTCTTCCCTTTCTTCACTAGGTTTCAAGTGTCAACACGAATTCTTCTTGGACTCAACCTCACACAATTTCGCATTATTAATAGTTCTTATTGGGGAGGTGTTTACGATTTCCAGCATGAATTTGCAAAATCATCACGAATTTCACCTTCCTGCCAATTCAATAGGTAATCCTGATTTTCCATATCTTCACAAACTTTTTCATTGATACTAATTTCATTTATTTTAATCCTTGTATCCACAACTTTTTTTCAATACGACTCATTAATTTTTGCTGTCAATTTCATAAATATTTATGCTAATTTCATCCTCGCTGTGAATTTCATAAAGTTGTATGCTAATCCTTGTATGCTAATTTCATTTTTGCTAAGAATTTCTTATAGTTTTTCTTTGAATTTCATAAAATTTTATGCTACTCGTTGTAAGCTATTTTCATTCTTGTTTTGAAAATCATACTTTTTTATTCAATTTCTAGAATATATCATTTGTTGTAAAGAAGATACAGATTAAGCAATTGTGTTGTGTGTTTTCATTTGTTTTTCCTAGAAGATGAGCATATTATGTGGTTCTTCTTGAGGTGTGATTTTCATGCGAAACAAAATCTCAGATTTGAAGTCTTCAAATTAATATTAGTTATGTTAATTTTCTAAAAAGAAGTTTCTGTTTATTTAATGGGTTTTCAAGAAAAGAATTTATAGTCTACTTTTTACTTATATTTTGTCTTCCATTGGTTACCCATCCCTAGGATGTAATTGAAGGGAATAGTATGTCATATAGTACTCCAGTCCCTTTACTTATATGTCTCCTGGCAATTTAAAATCATTCAATTTTAAAATTTATTCTTTTTAATTGGTGTTAATAAATATCAATGCCCAGACTCTTTCTTGCAGACTTGCAACCTCATGGCTCCAATAAATATCACTACTTAAATAAGCATTTGTTTTTTTAAAATTTTTTATGTGAGAAAATTCACAAAATTGATATGCATCCAAGGTGTACCAAAGAAACACTCTACAACTTGAATAAGCAACTACTTTTTTTAATAAAAAAATAAATTTTTTTTACGTGAGAAAGTCCACAAAAATAATATGCACCTAAGGTGCACCATAGAAGCACCCTACATTCCCGTGCAATTCGAGAGTGAGTTTGAGCTTACACATTCCATCTATCTATATACTCAATCATACTATCATACACTGTATCTCGTAATTCTATCCTCGGATAATCCGCCTATCAAATAGGCATTTTTTTGCTGTAATTTCTTATTAATCTAAATTCCATGGGCCCTCAAAGTCCAAGAATTTGTTAATGCTAGTCAAGAACCCACTTCGTGGTGAGCTTGCCAAACCATCACCAAGTTTTCGGTTAACCAACAAAGACAGAATTGTACCGTGCTACCGTTCATTGAAGAACCCATAAAACCAATGTCCCTACGGGCAAGGGTTGTTTAGCCGAAACCTGCCAAAGAAAAGAGGACCATACTAGTGAAATGCCCAATACAAAGAAAGGAGTCTTTAGGGAGGACATAGACATAGCATCTCAGTAGGACAAAGAAAACCTATACAATTCGGATATCAAGGGATTTTATCTGGGAGTACCTTTATACTTTTTGATGACTATATATGAAGGCTCTGCGTGCTACTGCTTCTCCTCTACTTGGAGTTGGATAATTGAGGTTTCCAAAGCATCAATCCAATGAGAATTCTTCCAGCCATATAAGCACTTCATTTCTCTTCAACCGCGACAGAAAATGAATCAGGTTTTGCAGATAATAAAATTACAGCCAGTCAAAAACTCAGAATAGGAGGGTGAGAGGAGAACAAATCACTTCCAGCTCTCTATTTTCCCCTTTCTTATGCACCCCATAAAACCATGCATCCCGCGAAGAGATATACTCCCTCCGTCCAGAATTAGTTGCCCACTTTCTTGTTTTAGTTTGTCTGAAATTGTGAACAATTGTCCGTTTTCCATATTTGATAAAGAAATCGTGAACAATTGTCAAAAATATCCAAGATATTGGGCGTGAGCATTGTTGATGACTAAAACAAGTCGGTTTATCATTTGATGGACTTATTTGATGCGGACTATTTTATACTCATTTCTTAAAATTGTTTTTTTCCTTCCATCATCTCTGAGGGAGCCAAAGATTCACTATTTTTTGGCTTTGGGAGTGATGGAATTCTTTAAACTGTCTGCACTTCTTTTTCAATAGTGAAGTACCAATTAGTCAATGCAACTTTGCACTTCTTTTTCAATAGTGAAGTAGCAGTTAGTCAATGCAACTTTCGACGCTCATGACGGATCATCCGGCAACAGCCGCTCTATGTTTTAAACATAGGGGTTTGCACATCCGACCCCCCTTACCCCGCAATGGGCGGGAGCCTTTGAGGCACTGGGGTAATGATGTTGTTGTTGTTGTTGTTTTGTTCTTAAAATTGTTTTTTTATAAAGTGGACAACTAATTCCAGACAGAGGGAGTATATCGCCTTGTTGTCACAAGTCTCTACCATGTATTTATGCATTATCTGCATGGATTGCATTTATCTTTTCAACTGGGCATGGATTATGCACTAGCCATAAAACTAAAAGTAAAAAACATCGGGAGTATGGGTGGGGTTCGTACCATTATGTGTTCACAAGTCGCATCAGGATCATTGTAGAGAGCGAGCAAGCACCCTGGTTTCGGTTTGAGACGATTCCTTATAAGTCTACACCTCAGATCTTTCTCCTTCTCTTTAACAATGCTCTCTGTTGGTTTCCCGCTGAAACTGGATACGCCAGCAATCCCTCCTTCAACTTCCCTCAATTTTACTCCCTCATTTGGAGTTGGCAAACTGTTGAAAATGTTTTTTTTTTAAAAAAACATGCACGCACGCCCACACATAATAAAGTAATAATAAGTTTCACTTCTGAGGCAATGTACACTTTTGTAAATGAAACTCAAATGTTACATAGCATGCCTAAGAACCACATAATGGATTTCTCTAGCAAATCTCACCTTTTCATAGATTTAGCAGATGAAAGAACAAACTGGATTGCGATTTCAGATTTTTCATCAACAGAAGAAGATGCTTGTGTATTTCCATTAACAGGAGGGGCAACAGCCATCCTCTGTGATGCAGAGTTCTTCCCAAAGATATACCTAGTATTTCCATGCCATTACATATTGATCACTAACTTCAGAGAGAGAGAGAGAGAGAGAGCTATGATTTGTATTCAGAAGAAATTCTCACCCAGCCAAATCATTGAACACATCTGATCCTGCTAACGAGTCACCGTCCCTTTCTACAACTGAAAAAGGGCCATATTTTCTTACCTATAATACACAGCACAGAGAAACACTCTCAAGAAAACAGTACTGACTAATGACTTATCATAAAACTCTGCTAATTTACAAGCTTAAACTGTAACTTCCGCCAGGATGCAGAGCTTAGATGCCAAAAAGGAGGTGCAAAAAGGGTAATTCCAGGTTCAACTTCTTTCAACGACGATGAAGAGCGATCATGCACTACATGAAGCCCTTACACGTACCAGACCCCACACCTTATTTCTCTTAGGTAACTGTCCGACCAGTACTGGGGGACCCTAGGGATGGGGTTTGTCTTTTTTTTATTAGCCTAACTTCCTGTTCATTCCTTTTTTGTTTCGGAAGGGAGGAGGGGGGACTTCAGTCAAGATCAACAGAACCTGGTAGCTTGCAGTTCTTTTTAGGATGTGATAAGAAGGCATTTCCAAGCGCGGCATCTTGTAATATCTCAACTGCTCAAGGTACACTTAACATTACCAAAGATGAAGAAGACAGAAATTATTGTTATAATTATGGAGTTTCAATGGATGGCATTTCACCTGCTTTATTACATCAATTAAACCTTCAATCGAAAAAAAATCACTGCTCACGATTGAATCCCAGTAGTCCTAAACCAATTCACAAAAAAATTATTACTGTATAATGTCAAATTAAGAAGGAAAAAAACCCTAAACAGTGAAATAGACTGTAAGATTCTCACAACGTGGCGGATGAACTTGTTTGTTTCTGGGTTGACACTCATCACAGACGTGCCGGTGAAGACCAATTGAGGCTGCCATGGCAGAAGAAGAAACCTCATAACCATACTCCACCGTGTGGTTATTTCCGAGGGCCCAGTCTGCACCAAACCAATCAATCATTTCAATCGATTTCAGGAGCAGCTCTGAATTTCAAAACCAGGATGAAGCTTACCTGTTTGACCCAATGCAAATCGAATTGAGGCCTGAACAAGAATTTCAAGGTGGCTATATTAAGGAGGTAGCTATTGAGGTCGTCGTGACTTGTGATGGGGTCTCTGAACTTGAGCGCGGCATCATAGGCCGTCCGATCGATCCCTTTATCGTCGAAGAGGTGGGGGAGATCCCTGTACAAGAAATCCACCAGCTCCCCCATGCCCCCGCCGCCGCCGCCGCCGCCGGTCGTGTCTTGTTTAGGGCTTGGCGGACTTGTTTCGAGATCCACCATGCTCAGCCGAACAGCCCCTTGGAATTTCTGATGTGACTGGAGGTTTTTTCTGGGAGGAGAAAAAAATATGGTCGGGGCGGTAGGAAGTTGCCAGTTCCGGCGAGGGGTTGGCCGGGAAACGAGGGCGGGAAGATTTGAGGTGGCCATTTGTCCTACACTCATTGTTCTCTTGGTTCCCAACTACTGGTGTACCACCTTTTGGCAAATTTATGGGTTCATTTTTGGCAAAACAATGGTTTAAATTAAAAAAAGTTAGACACTTACGAGCAATTAGACCATATTTTTCATAACCGTACCAATGACCGAACCGATCATGATACTGGTTTACTGGTCAAATCAGTGATTCAACTGGTCGAATCAGTGGTTTAAATATTTTAAAAATTTTATACACACATACATATAGACACACACACACATTTTCATTTATAAATACCTAAAGAAAGTAATTTATAACATTTGATTAAAATTATATTAATATACTTGAGTTATTTTACTAAATTAAAAAATAAAATTTAAATATTAAAAAAATAATATTAAAATTTTAGAAATGAAGAGTTGATTTAATTTGTTTCAAATAAGTTGTTTAATATTAAAAAAACACTCAAATCAAATCTTTGCATGATATGCATTTTGTAATAGTATCAATAATAACAATGACTTTGTGTTTGATTCATAGCTATATAATATTATATTTTTAAATTTGAAAAGGATTTTTATACAATCTTTTTTTAATTATGAAATATTATAATAGATTATGTGAACTTGTAAAAAATAGCACCTTTGCTTGGATGGTTAGGAACTCAACCAAATGTCTAAAACGTCTTGGGTTCAAACCCCCCACAAAGGCATGTTTTGGGAAAAAATCGTAAAACTGGGCGGACCGGTTTGGTTCAGATTACGGTCCAATAGGCTGAACCGGACCGGTTGGACCACCAATTCGCTGGTTCACAGTCCGAACTGGCCGGTCCGGCCCGATTTTTAAAACTATGAATTAGACCATCACTATCCATTAGCACCAAAGTTAGACTTAAAATATACGAATAGTAAATGTCAACTTTACTATATTCCATTAACAGCTCATTATACCAAAATCAAAATAATATTCTTATAGTATATTCTTTTTTTCTTATTACTTTTTATATTTTGAGAATTAAAAAATTTGAAAGAAAAAAATTAATCTAGTAGCTAAAAATGAAAATAATGTAAGCTATAATATTTTAAAAAAATATTATGGAACATAAAGATATGAAAGAAAAAAAATTAGGTGCCCCAAATTACAACCCATATTTGAGTTTGAAATACAGCAAAACCCATTTTGCAGTTAGAAATAGAGTACTATTAGAGATTTTAAGACTCCAAAACTGAATATATGCAATACTATTGAATTTTCTGAAAAATTACAAAGATTCACTTGAAAAACTATATGACAAAAAATATTACTCAAAAAACTAAACCCAATACCAATCAGAACAATTGATTCAGTACTTCAGAGTGGTACGAGTTGACTTTCCATATCGAACATTCTGAACTGAACATATGTACGACTCCCTCCATGCATAAATTTCTTTCACATCTGACTTTTTATGGTCTTCAATACAATATTTTAACTATTAATATCTTTATTTACAAAAAAATATATAGTATAATAAATGTAATAATTCAAGACTATATTACAAAATTAACCTATTGATATTAAAATATACTCCATATTTGATAATTCAATGTTTTTTTCATAATTTGTTGTCCATGCTTAAAAAATTTGAGCACTGTAGCCAATCAGCGAAATGAGGTAGGGGCACGGGGCTACTATGGTGGTGGGGAGGGGGCTGGAGGTGTAGGAACCATCGATTTTGCTAATGGAACACCGTAGGTGCCCGGGTCATAAAATGACCTTGGAATCCAAGGTCAAAAGAACCATTTTGATACTTTATTTAATTTTCTATTGATAAATATAAAATGATTAAAAAAATATTTGAAGTAGCATTATTTTGTTATCATTCGTTATATTTTCCAAATTTACTGTTCCATACACATTTCTTGGAGTTAGATTATTCATTTTCAGTTTTTAATGTTTCTTGTTTAAATGCACTTTCACTATTTAAAAAACTAAGGGTTTAGGAACATTCTGAATATAAAGTAAATACTACATATTTATCCATATTTGTAACAAAACAGATAATGAACCATCGATCCTGAACTAATATTTCCGGATCGAGATCGGCACAACAAAGAATCAATGTTAAACCGAAATGTTCAGAATTATATCGGTACGAGTTAAATCTTGTTTCATAATTTACATGTGATTAATTAATACTTAATCACATTATTCACATATTAAAAGTTAATTATTTTGTCTTCTTGAGAATTTAAAAAGTATAAAATGATGAGAACATTAAAAAGTAAGTGGTGAAATTCTTGTGAAATTTGCACTAAATAGTACTAAAACATGTCATTTCTCAATTAATACCTAAAATTTTTAATTTCCTAAATTGTCGTGTGACGGGAACAATGTCTAGTGGCGGTGGACATTTACTTTGAACAATATCCAGCGGCAGTGGACATTTACTTGAACAATGTCGAGTAGACATCGAATAGTAGTACTACATTGAGAAATTATAATATTTGGTATTACATTAGGAAACTCGATATGCTTTAGTACTATATAGGTAAATTCTCCTAAATTCTTTTACACTATGTTTGGTTCAAAGAATTTGAAAGAGAAAAGAAAAGAAAATGAGATGGAAAATAATGTTTCTTGTTTGGTTAGAGAGGAAAAGAAAAGAAAATTTGAAGGAAAAGAAAAGAAAATTTGAAGGAAAAGAAAATGAGAAGACAAAATGTATTAAGAGGGTGGAAAACCAAATTCCTCCCATTTTGGTGAGGAAAATGAGAGAAAATCATTTTCTTTTCTTTTCCTTCCAAATTCCTTGAACCAAACATTGTGTTAAGGAGTAAGAAATATTCTAGCCGAGTAGGGAGGAGGGTGCAGAAGAGCTTTGGCACTGAAGAGGTTCTTTAGCATTTGATTTAGATACCCTTTTGAATTGTATTAGCACTTACTGTTAGAGTGTTAGGTAAGGGCTTCTAGTTCTAGCAGCTAAACAGTCTGGTCTTTCAACCTCAAATCCTAGCAGAGAAACACAGCATGCAACTGATGCAACAATGGAGAAATTACTGAACACATAATTTCATCTTTTTGTGCAGACTTTCCGGAAAAGGCATTCCAAACACTTGGTTGCAGTCCAGACTCGGAGATGATGGCTTCACTATTACCGGCCTTGGTGAATCATTCACTTGGATATTCACAACTGTGTTGTTACCATCTCCATTGTCTAGGATACGCACTTGGCGACTTCTCTTTTTAGCCGTCTCTTTTGCTTCTACCGTATAGAATCCATTGGATGCATTGTCCGTGCAAGGGACTTTGTTAGGCATCACAGGGACCTGTGGAAGAAAATTAATGCGGGAAAACACGCTGGTCTTCTTCTTTTTCTTATTCTTCTTCGTCAGCCTTGTAGTTGCATTTTTACTGGTCCACTTTTCATGTAGCGTCTCCAATGCCTTCATTATCGTTTGCACAGGATGAGGATGGGGCTCAGATGTCATTTCACCGCCTTCTTGTTCAGACAATGAATACTTCAACTCCAATTTTGTGTGAATGTTTTCTTCCTGGACTTGAGAAAAAGCTCTGGCGCTGTATTGCAACCTAGAGAATACACTAGGCCTTTCCTGCAGGGTGTCACAGTACATGCTCTTCACTTTGTGGCAAAGCTCATTGTCATTCTGATCCTTTCCATCACTCGAATCAGCATTTTGTAGACATACAGCGTTTGCAGGGTCACTATGTTCTGGATCAGATAATGGTATGTAATCTTCCAGTAAATATGAATCAGTTGAAGTATTCTTGCAGTCCACTTCTCCCTGCAACTCAACGCTACCACTTCCTGATGAAGTATTCTGATCAGTTTGCGCTGTTAATCCATGTTTGAAAGCCACAATACTGTGTGTTAGACAAAGGCGTGAGAGATTAACTGAAATTGTAAAACAGATTCAATCTCAGAATTAGTTTCTTTTTCTAGAGCACCTGCACCAACAGCATTCATCTTTTCAGAAGATTTGGTGGATAGCTTCTTCAGATCCTTGACCTTTGGATACTTTTCAACTTTGATCCTTCGTCTCGATTGAAACAACCATACAAGCCTTTCAACCTGACAACTCAGAAGCAGTAAATTTTCAAAGCTACTTTTATGTAAATTTGATGGTCCATTCAGTTCACTTTACAAATTAACAAAAAGTGCAAGGAGCAAAGAGTGACAACATATTATCGTACGTAATAGGGCATAGAAAAGATTGGTTTGAATCAAACCCAACAGTGAAACAAGGATGTGCAGACAAGTAAATTCTTTGACAACATTACAAGCTTTTGTTCAAGTTGAAGTAGATGCTGACCTGTTCCTTAGACAAACCAAAACTAAACTTGTTAGCTGAGTAGTAATTGTCCCTAATAGCGTCACGAAAAGTATGCTCAGGCAGGGGATGACATCTCCAAACAACACGAAAGCAAACCTGAAGAAACAACGGACAATCATTTAAGAGTGTTTTGCAGTTGAATTTTGACGCGCGAACACTTGTTACCTGTGCAGGAAAAGACTTCCCAGATGAACAATAAGCGCGAGGCTTAATATTCATTCTGCCATCTGAGGTAGCCTCGAAGACTCCATAAAGGTTTCGCCCCTCATATTCAAACAGAAACAAAAGCATTCCAGCTTTGACATGATTCACAAAATTAGCAAATGAAAGCGGAAGTCCAAAGATCCCCCTACCGAAACACTCATCCTTTGTTCTTTTGTTACACATGAAGATCGCACCAAAGTCAGGAAAACCTTCAGAAACCCTCCCACCAACAATAGCCATGACACTCCTTAGTCCTCACAAGGAACTGAAGAATAGAGTTAATGAGCCAACACTATAGCATAAAATTTCCAAATAGTACTATCACATAAATGGAAAAATACTCCACCAATGGCATTACACAATTATTCTTCGCTAAAATCATGAAAATCTCTTCACTAAAATCATTAACTAGCTTTCAGAAATACAGGCATAGGATATAAATGGATGGATTAGATTTATTCATTGAGGAAAAAAAAAAAAAATCAAGAGCAGGTTTATAAGCAGCAAGATTTTCAGCACATCGTTACTAAAACAGGCAAAACACCCCATCAAAAATCGATACACCCTATTTAAGTGTTCAAATG